AGTGTCATTTGGGCTCGAGACAAGTACTTGAAGCCTGATGGATTAATGGTTCCAAGTCACATGAACATGTGGGTTGCTCCCGTTGCTGATCCAGACTACGTCGCCGATCACATCGATTTCTGGAGAGATGTGTATGGATTCGATATGAAAGCAATGCAAGCCGGAATCCACGACGATACACAAGTCCTTGATATGCCAGCCAGTACGATCTGTGGCGAACCCTTCCCATTCTTGCAATTAAGTCTGCACACAACCACAGTCAAAGATCTTACCTTCAAGAGAAAATGGGAGTCGAAGCTCACTCAGGATGTCGATACATTGGATGGCTTCATGATTTGGTTTGACAGCTTCTTCATGCCCTCACGAAAAGATGAGGTTCCTGAGAATTCAAAGGCTGAGGAATGGGCCAAGGAAGAAAAAAAGGGAGTTGCATTTACAACAGGTCCAAAAGCTAAGGTAACACATTGGAAACAAGGTGTGCTGCTCATCGATACTGCCAAATACCAACCAAAGGAACATAAGGCAGGTGAGCAGATCAGTGGAGAGTTAGAGTATCTAGTTGCCGATGATTATTCAAGAGCTCTAACTATCGGCATGGACTGGAAGTTTGATGGTGAGGAGGCGGGCAAATCTCAAACATGGAAGATGAGATAAACTGCCTGGTTGGTAGATGAAATGATAAAATGGGATGATTTGCTGAAGTTAAGAGTACCATGAAACCCTTGGCAGTAGGGTACAGCTTGTCAGTTCCACTGAGGTTGGTCTTGCAAGAATAGCTCTCGCTGGAGTAGCAAGTCCATACTTGTGGGAAGTATTGAATATACTCGTAGTTCAAATAAAGTAGATCTCCACATCCATTTCCCCAATTATATGCTATTTGTGTGACCTAGAGAATTCAATTCTCGATACCCCGAACATGAATGAGTTCTAGCTAGCTAATAGTTTCGAGTTTTTCTCTTGAAGAATCATCACTTGAAAATTCTTGGTGTTTTACATTGATAAATCATTTCCATTGTTCATTATCTATCCGAATTGGAGATATTTATAATCATGATCCTTCACTCTCTTTCGGAGATATCTTGGAGATAAGCTCGGGAGATAATCTGCATGACGAAATATAATCCCTACCTCATTGTAATCGCGCATCCCGGCATTGGTCAGCGATAGGCATCGACCATAACCTTTTCTACTAATAATTGTTTGAACTCACTACCGACCGACCGATGATGGCTATATCATTCATTTGTCCCGGCTAGTGTGATATTCGGACGGCAGCTATATTGCTTCCATGTATGTATATATATCTTTATTAACTGATTCAACTCATCAAGGTTCCCGACCGACTCCACAACAACAATGGCGCCCGATAGAGGCACAGCACAGTCTCCTGACTACCAATCGATCTCCACTCGCACATCTGAAGACAGTGACAATGCACTTCGTCGTAGACGAAGCGAACAACGAAGATTCATAGCTGCACATGCGGAAGAGGGACAGAATTTCACAGTACGAGGTATACTCGTCGGACTGGGCGTCGGATTGATAATATGTTTTTCCAATATGTATTTTGGTCTGCAGACCGGTTGGGTCTCTTCTATGGCCATGCCGGCTTCCCTGATCGGATTCGCGTTCTTCAAAACTTTGTCGAAACATCTTGATTTACCGTTTACGCCGGTGGAAAATGTATTGGTACAAACGGTCGCTGGATCAATGGGGACAATGCCATTGGGTTGTGGATTCGTGGGGTTATGCCGGCATTGAATTATATGTTGAAGGAGGAAGAACAAGGGCCAATTTTCTTAAGTACTTGGAAACTTATCCTCTGGTCGTTAGGATTGTGCTTTTTCGGGGTGGTGTTTGCCGTTCCGTTGAGACGGCAAGTAATTATTAAAGAGAAATTGAAGTTTCCATCTGGTACCGCGACTGCGTTGATGATTGGCGTTTTACATGGGAAAGAGACTACTGCAGGTGGACCGCCAATTTCGAATTCCGAAGACCTGGATGGGATAAATGGTATAAACGAAAGAGAGTCTAGAAATCATACAGATGAGAGTGTGGCGGATGTTGAGGAGGTGAACAAGGCTGAAGGTAGCAGCTGGAAATCAAAGGTTAAGTTATTGGTGATTTCATTCGGGATATCAGGACTTTACACACTTGGAACTTATTTCTTTCCTATATTGCGGAAACTACCAATTTTCGGGACAGCAATTGCGCAAAATTGGTTGTGGACTTTAAATCCTTCCCTTGCATACGTCGGACAGGGAATCATTATGGGTCCAGCGACAACCACACATATGCTTCTTGGAGCTGTTGTTGGCTGGGGAATACTCTCTCCTCTCGCGAAAAACAGGGGTTGGGCTCCTGGGCCAGTCAGTGATTGGGAAACAGGAAGTAAAGGTTGGATTGTTTGGATTTCGTTGGCTATAATGTTGGCGGATTCAGTAATCAGTCTTGGATACATTGCTCTTAATCCTTTGATCAATAATGGCGGAGATTATATCAGTGAGGCCCAGCAAAAGATCAAGAGACGGGATTGGCTGGGTCTTCTTTCATTTGGAACGCCACAATCGAACACGGGATATGCTCCTATAAACAGAGAAGAATCTTCTGGTCGTACAGAGCAAAATGTATCAACTACAAGTAATGGATCATCAATCTCGAGCAACAATCTTCAGTCAGAATTGAAAGATCTACCAGAGCCTGACGCCCCTTCAGAACATCTCGTCAATACCCGCACTGTCTGGATAGGCCTCATCCTCTCCATCGTCTTCTGCATATTCAGCATCCGCATCGTATTCGAAGGACTGATCCCACTCTACGCAACCATCCTCTCCGTTCCAGTAGCCCTTATTCTCTCAATCATGGGCGTCCGCGCTCTCGGAGAAACAGACCTCAACCCCGTATCTGGGATCTCAAAATTAGCCCAATTATTTTTCGCCCTCATAATTCCCCAAAGCAACAAAAACTCCATCCTTATAAATCTCGTCGCCGGCGCTGTCTCCGAAGCGGGCGCCCTCCAAGCAGGCGATCTCATGCAAGATCTCAAAACTGGTCATTTGTTGGGCGCAGCTCCAAATGCACAATTTTGGGGTCAGATTATTGGGAGTGCAGTGGGTGCAGTGGTTAGTGCGCTCATCTATAAACTTTATACAAATGTATATCAGGTTCCGGGAGATTTATTCCAGGTTCCAACGGGGTATGTGTGGATTTTTACGGCGAGGTTGGTGACGGGAAAGGGATTACCGGATATGGCTGCGCAGTGGGCGATGGGGGCAGCAGTTATTTTTACGGGAACGACGTTGTTGAGGATATGGGGGAAGGGGAAGGGAGCGTGGTGGTATGATTATGTTCCCGGGGGTATCGCGGTAGCTGTTGGTATGTCTGTTCTTATTTCTCTGTCTTGTTTTGTCTCTGTTATTTCCCCTCCCTCCATTCTCTTCCATCGCCCCCGCCCCCAAATACTCCTCCGTCTCCTTCATCTCTCTCTCAAACATCAACCCACCAACCAATTAATAAACTAACACCACAAAAAGGCATGTACAACACCCCCGCCTTCACGCTCGCTCGCGCAATAGGCGGCTTCATCAATCTCTACTGGCGCTCCTATCGCAAACGAGAAGAAACACCCATTGTCGTCTTGGCGAGCGGATTGATTCTCGGAGAGGGCGTGGTCAGTATTGTTAATTTGGGGTTGGCGAGCGCGGGGGTACCGCATTTGTGAGGAGAATGGTGTATAGGTTTCATTTAATTTGAGTTCTTTTGGTTGGCTTGATTTAGGCTGGGTTCGTTGGATAATGATTTGAATTTGAGTTTGAATTTGATTGTTTGGGGTGGGGATGGGTATAGATAGGTGGTATAGAGTATAGGTATATAAAGACACACTCACACATGTATGTAAAATACTTGTTATAGTAGAAAGAAACCAATGATTTAAGCGCCTAATTGGAATGAATGATATTTTACAATCTCACAACACATCACATATCACTTCACTCCACTTCACAATCCCTCGACATCAAAAAACGTACAAGTGATTTCATTTTGCATTTTGCATTTTTCATTTCATTTCATTCCATCTTGTGTCTTGGATGCGCATTTCCCACTCATTCAATCATTTCATCTAAGTCCTTGCTTGCGCGCCACCTCTTCTAGCACTCTTCTCCCACTCTCATCTTCGCAGTGATCAGCATCAATCATAAATACATATCATGTCAAGTACGACTCATACATTCTCCCCCCTCTCTTCTTCCTTTCCCCCTCCTGAAAAATATACACATCATTTAATTCCATTTCGCTCCAACGCTATGCTGTATCCTTGCGCATGCTCGCTCTCATATCACGAATGTATCTCAGCCACCAGCTCATCTTATCCTTCCTAATCAACACATCCCTTCCAATCGTTGTCTTGCTTCTTACTCAAGAAGCCAAACCTAAAATACACAACCAAATCACTCATACATCGCATTTCCTTCCTTCCTTCCTTGCAATCACCCAACCTGCAAGCAATGCAATTTCAAATGCACATTAATCAAACCTGAAACATCCAACCCCCTAAAAGTCCGCGCTCCTCTTCACAATTCGTGATTTTACATCAACAGAAAACAGTATCAAATACGCCTCTTCTAGAAAGCCATTTTTCTCGTTTCCTCGTCCATGAAGTATCAAAGCTTACTTTCCCCATGTCTTCACGTCTTTCGGCATATCCACATAATGAAATAAACGGAAGTGTATCTTCCCACCAACCCCCCCTTTTCCTCAAAAATGGCAAAATCTCGTACTCAGTACGGTTTTACTCCAAAACAAAACGCCCGCTCCCATTTATGAAATCAAAGGGTATGCTATGCGCCACCCTGTATATGTGCGTAAAACCTCTAATCGCCAAAATCTCATGTTCCAGTCATGACATGAACGAATGAATTTTTGTAAGAGAAGCTTGAAAGAAAATATAGTAAGAAATTATTATTTGAATAACGATGATGCAAATCGCCTTACCAATCCAATTATTCTGTTGAATCGGGTACTTCAGAATTATCTGTGCTTTCTGTGGTTGATTCTTCAACCTTTGTGGGATCAGCTAATGGCTCCTCAGTATTTGAGACATCAACCTCTTCAGGATTACTTTCGGTAGTGGGTTCAGGCTCCACATGAGCTGATGCATCACTGGCAGTTTCAGGTTTAGTGTTCTCTCCAGTATCATCGCCAAGAAGTTTGTCGACGGCTGGTGTGTCATTTTCAGTGCTAACATCCGTTACAGGTCTTTCATCAGCGGTCGAAAGGTTATATTGAGGTCCCACATCAATATCGGCCGTAGCATCGAGAGCCTCGTTGGTAGCATTCAGTCTTTCATCGTATATCAATGGCCGCTTTTTTTCTTCCCTCGGGGTTGTAGACCCAGTATCACTGTCAAGTGAATCCTTATCAGGTTGAAGAGGCTCTGGTCCTTTCTGAGGGGGATTCTGTACTGGCGATTTGTTGGAGGGTGCTGTTGAGGATTGCAATGCTGACGGTTGCATTTTATGAAACCAACCTCCGCGCTCCCATTGTCCCGGTTGGTACAAGCACGAATCTCGAACTTTGCTATCAACAATGCCTTTGAGTAAAACATTTAGCCGTTTGAAGTCGATGGGCTTCAATACCCAGCCGTCAAAACCAGCATCGATGTATGTTTGCCGTTCACGCTCAATAAGAGAAGCTGATACGGCAAAAATAGGTACTCTTCCATTGAGCTTGGCTCGGGGCGACAGATCGAGATAAGTCTTTTCGAATGACCTTATCATCTTTGTTGAAGTAAGTCCATCGACTATCGGCATTTGCATATCCATAAGTACTACGTCGAAACGTTTATCTGCCGATGAAGTCGTTGCAGCGGACTTCTTGACGTTGTCTCCGTAGGCACTTGCACACTCTTCCCCGTTTATGGTGTGGTAAACCTCATGGCCACTTTTGTCCAGTCTCTTATTGATTATACGACTATTGACGGGATCGTCCTCGGCGACCAGAACCTTCAAATTCTCTGTATTTAAAGGTTCTGACTCTGTTTTGGGTGATAATTCATGAAGCGCGTCTTCGCGTGATCCCCTTGTGAGGATGTTGATGGGATGTGAAGATTAAATTTCACCTTCGCAGCAACTGGAGGAGCATTTGTGTTCGTATTTTCTGAGAATTCGTCTGGCATCCTCACAGCTCTCACTGGTGTTTTGCTGCCAGCAACAATCCTGCTTCCCACAGCTTGTGAATCTTCTAATATGGGATAATCAGGCGCAGTGTACGAGGCTGAACGTTTCAATTTGGCGGACTGGCCTGATTTCGAGGTCAGCCTAGTTTCAGGCATACTATTAAGACTGTGTCGGTCCTTGCTATCAACACGTTGCAAAGAATCTCCCTGCGCATTACTGGCTGGGCCAGTAATAGCATCAATGAATCGATCCACATCACTTTTCCCGCTAGCTTTACTGCTGTTATTACTTTTGAAGCTGTGCAAACTTGCAATCTCTTCTATACTGTGCTTGCGAGCAAGCGAAGAAGGATCGGGAGCTGATTGTTTAAGATGTCCTGATGACTTGACAAGAGTCACCTCGCCAGGGGTGCTTGCAGGAGGTGGCGTCGCGAGCGGTGGTGATACAGATGAAGAACTTAAGAAAGTAGCCTTCTCTTGATTCCCAGAATTTTGTGAACTATCGTCAGGAAGAAAGAAGGGCAACTGAATGACAAATCGCGAACCCTTCCCAATTTCTGACTTCAAACGTAGCTGGCCGTCCATATTTCTAACAATTCTAGCTACCATTGCCAAACCAAGACCTATCGTACGGTTGCCATCAATGAGAGCTTTCTCATTGCCTTCGTCTTCAAACGAAGGATCGCCATCAACTTGTTCGAGATCTCGAAAAATTGTATCAAGTTTTTGATTCGACATACCGTCGCCACTGTCTTCAACAATGATTTCGACGTTGACTCTATTATCGATGATTTCTTGCAACCAGATTTCAACATGAACAAAGCCACTTGACGTGTGTTGCACAGCGTTTGCCGTAATATTAGCAACTGCTTGCCTAACACGTCTTTGGTCTCCATGCACAAATTGTGGAACACCAGGATGCTCGACCACGGTATATTCAATGCCCTTTCGCTTCACATCGCCCTTGAACAAGTCGGTTGCCTCTCTTATAGCAGCCGGGAGATCGAAAATCTCATCCTTGACCAGATCCATGCCTTCTTCAGTTTTCGTCAAGTCTAGCAAGTCGTTGATGACATAAATTAGTGACTTGGAGGCAGAGTGTGATTTGGACAAATTCTCTCTTGTTTCTTGGTCTAATGCGCCCTCGAGCGCAATCTCCAGGTAGTTAATAATTGCGTTCAGAGGAGTTCGGACTTCATGAGCAGAATTGGCCAGCAACAGCCGTGTAAGCTGACTGCTTTGTAATGCTGCTTCTTTTTGACGCCAAACCTAATATGCGTCAGTAAGGATCAACCACTTTGTCATTACGTCTGTCCAATAATTCGATTTGTGGTTTTGGAATAAGTGATTCTCGATGTTAAAATCATTTCAAGCATGAAAAGAGCCTTAAACATTGAGAACGGCTAGACCAGTGAAATTCGTCGGAATTATGTAAATCTTTTCGAAATTCGAAAGATTCAATCGAACTGCAGTCCGGAACGTTGGGTATACTGTGCACATGATGATAAAAACTTACCTCGATGAACTTTCCATAAACTAGACAGAGCACGGCAGCGGTTTCCACTTGTTCCTCTGTCCATTCACGGCATTTTCCAATCACAGTCTCATTCCACGTCTTGAAACTTTTTCTCGGCTCCAGATAGCCCTCAGTGCCTTCTTTGATAAATTTTTCGTACGGATTGCCTGCCCATTTGACGTTCCTGATTTGTCCAGCACGGAAAAATACAATGAAGTCTTCGCCCTCTGAGTTTAAAGGTACCAAAAGTAAGCCCGCAATGACGTTGAATCCTGGGGGATATCGAAGATCCGGAAAGTCTTGTTTAATGTCTTGAGAGGTGACAACGGTGTTTATTTTACGCATTCGCATATATTCCAGCATAGCAAGTGCCTCGTGAGATTGGTTAATCTTGCCCAATATCTTAGTCTCTCCTTTGATCGAAAGGAGGCCAAAATCAGCATCGAACAACTTCAGAAGGTCGTCAGAAGATGCTATTATGTAACCGGAAGGGTTGGCCTGTGTTGGAACTGTATTGATGAGCTTGCGAGCTTGAAGTCGTGAAGCATATGATAATCTTTCAATATTCCTTGACGCAGTATCACCCACTAGCCGACACATCTTTCGAATAGGAAAAGAGACTCGCATCCCTTTCGGGCCATAAGTGTGACAAGCAATCAAGCCCCACAACTCGCCGAACGCATTGATTGAAATAGACATTGAGGATCGAACTGCCATGTTCGCGAGATATTTAATGTGTATAGGTGACATGGCTCGCTACCGGATGTTAGTGAATATTCAACCAAGAATAGTGGTATAACCATGTGTAACATTTAAAGGCTGATGGTATAAGGACTCACAAGATAAGCATATGATAGATCAAGAGGGTTTTCAAGCTCCTCAACACCGCGACAGACAAGTCGTGCAGTTTCTAAATCCCTATCATAAAGAAGGCGAACTTTGTTGGTTTTGTATAATTCTCGAGCTTGCTTAGGAATGTCGGATGCCGGAAAATTCAGTCCTTTATAGAGATCTTTAGTCGCTCGAGGGTCAACAAGCTCAGTAACCACTCGACCATTATATGAAGCATCGAACTGGTATACCATGACACGATGAAAACCTGTCAACTCTTTGACCACACCTACAAGAGTCTTAAGGAAAAGCTCCAAGTTCGGCGCAGTCGCAAGTTGCTCTTGTACCTGGGACATAATATTAAAGACCTCCATAGCAGCGGCTTCGCCTTTGCGCTTTCGGGCGTTTCTCAAGACTCGGAGGGGTTTGCTCGTATTGACCGTACTCTCATCGAATTCCTCCTTTGTTGGATTGCTGCTGAGTGTATCCTCTGGGGGCTCGGGCGTTCTTTCCTGTTCTGGAACGAGAGGATAGACTTGGTCATCATCGAGTTCAAACTCACAGATGATCATTTCTGGGTTGACAGGGTTTATATGCATAGCTACCCAAAGCTTTTTAGATCTATGAGTTCTTGGGTGACGAATTGAGACTGTAAAAACTTCTGGACCATTTGAGGCGGGATCCGCGTCTTCATCGCGAATAAAATCGATATGATCAAGGAGATTTTCCTGGTACGGTCAATAAGTTGAACTCGCAATCTAATTCTCACAATTACTCACCTGTTGGTCTTCGCTCAATATATCTAGAAAGCTATCCAGTCGAAAAAGCTCCTGAGGCGTATATCCAATCATGCGTTGGGAGTTTTCACTAACAAGACGAACCAAGAGTTGATTATCTTCATGCTCTGATAATGCAATGAGTAAGCCAAAGCCTTGTATAGCTCCAGGAATGTGAATTGGTTCATCCTCGCATTTCTGCAAGACCTCTCCATCACGACCAGTAATGATGGCATGTCCTTCTGCAGTCACGATGTGCTTAAATCGGGCCGTTACTAGCCCTCCAAGTCCACCGTCGTCGGATACAGACATGTTTCCAGACATGTTTCCAGACATATTTCCAACCGATGATTGTTTTGCGCTGGAATTGCGTGTGTCAACAGATCTATCAGATGCATTGTCCAGGAATTGTTGCAAGCGACTGCCTCTGAACTCACTACGAGTTGTAGAGGTAGACGACTTGCGATCTACTCTTCTGGGATCAGCACTAAATTCCATCTGACCTCTTTGGCGAGGAGTTGTCTTTCCATCCGAATCTGAATATCTCACACCTCTCCCACCTCCATCTTTGCTTGCTACACTTGGAGGGCGTGGAAAATAGTCATTCATTTCACCAGAAACCGATCCTCTACCCGAGAATGAAGATGGGGTCTGAGTGGGATCGACACTGACGACACTTCTAATTGGAAAGACTCGGTCGTTGGTAGTAGATGATGGGCTACCAAGCTGCTTGTCCGAACAAGCGCTCCAAGAAGATGTTGCTTGGGCAGATGAAGCAGTATAGCCCTTGGGAATATCGGTTGGCCATAATCGTGGTTTTGTGATTGGAGAAACAGGAACAGGTGTAGAGCCACCTGTTGAAGTTCGCGTCCGAGATGAAGACCGAGAAGCTACTTCCATTGATTTGACTTCGTTATCCTTTGGTAATTGGGCAATGTCTTCAGGATCCGGCAGCATTGCAAGGGGCTTGTTGACCTTTATAGGTCCGCCTATTGGGGTGACCAATTCGTATCTGCAATCCCCGTGTGGTCTAATTCTGTCGATTGTATTAAAGAAAGTGTTTGTTCGTAGCCAGCCTATTACACCTTCATGTATTTACCTTCCTTCAGTTCGTAAATGCATCGAAATATGTTCGCACAATCGTCCGTAAGATATAGACTTTTCCAAACCATAAAGAATGGTTGCTGTCGAATCTTTTCCCGTTCCAATAGCACTGAGTAGAATTTCCAGGCGCAGTGAATGAGAGTAGTGAAATGAAATGTCCTTGTCGAAGTTAAACAATCAAAAGAGCATACATGTATTTTGTGTTCGATAGAGGAAATAATCTTGGTATCGATAGAGAGCGACTGGAAGAAAGATCGAGGGATTTGCACTGACAATTTGATACGCTTAGAAAAGGAAGAGGGTATCCTGAAGTTGAATCGTTTCGCTGGTTGTGTATGGGTCAAGTTGTCACTCCTTCCTCATGTCAAGGTCCAAAGGTCTCTTTGATGGGGTCGAATTGTAGAGGTTGTGAAGGTTCGGAATATTCGAATATTCGCGTAGGAACTGATCTACAATACAGAGGTCAGTGGCTCGAGTGGCTCGAGTGGCTCGAGAGTGGTTCCGTTGATTGATTGTGGTTGGCGAGACCGGAAGTGGCGAATGGAATGGGATCATCTGGGTAGGTATCCATGATTGAATGGATGTATGTGGGTTTTTGGAGATTTTGGGATATTAGATAAGATCGCATTTACTTGATTTTTTTATGGGATTTTGAGACGGACTAAAACAAAACAAAAACGGGGCGATTTGATTGGTCGTGATTGGTGTGACTTATATAATACGATAAACTCCATTCTCCACCATAAAATCTCAGAATTTCCTTCCCCCAAGTTCTCCAGTAAGGTACTTTGGTACGTGCTACCTACCTAGCATCTACCTAGCATCGACCTAGGTACTCCGTAGCTATTTGACACCAGTGCACCACCGAGATCATCTGGGTTAATGGCACTCTGATGGAGATATATAGCCCACTTTCGTACAGGAGTAGGGAATGATGCACATCGTATACTTCGTGTGCCTATGTGTTGGTTGGATGTATGAGGTACCTGGATATTATGCATTCGTCTACTCAACTGCTATTGAAAATCTCTCTATCTATAGACACCCATCCAAACGGAAAAAGCTAGAGCCTCATAACACAGTAATGATACTGTCATAGACGGAGAAACTAAATGCCTCTCACATGTTATTGTTCACAACGAGAGACGCCACAGAAGAAGTTATTATGGAGTATGGCTCAACCCTTCCGGATCCCAGGTTTCAAGTGGCTAGAATCATAGATGTTGATGAGGGGATCATCGTAGTCAAAAACTTTGAATGCATTCCCAATACTATGTACGATCTACAAAGATTAGCAATCCCCCTACCCTCAGTACTCCATAGGCAGGATGATTTATAGAAACTAATAGTAGTTTCCGTTAGTTGATGCAATTCTTCATTCCCGTGTCTGAAAGAAAAGAAGAATGAGAGGAAAAAAAGACCAGTCAGAGCAGAATTGTGGTCCTACGATCTTGTATAGGGGCTGTTGAATTCTATTATACTTTTCGATATTTGAAATCCGATCAACTACCAAATTCTCATATTGGAGATAGAGATCTTTCGAGTCAATCATTACTCAAATCTGCAGATGTGATGGGTACCTAAGATGGAAATATAAATGCATCTGTTTTGAAGATCCTATGACCACCCCGCTTCTACGTTGTTTGGTTTTATGCAGCACAAAGAAGCCCTTCTGTCGATCAGAAGAAAGCAATCATAGAAGAGTGTTTTATATATCGTAAGCTCGAATGAAACAAAAATTGAGCTACACAGCCACTTACTCATCCTGCCTCAAGCCACTCTATCAAGTTTCATCAAACCTTATACAACCTCTATCAACGAGCTATGATGATATCATGTATTATCTCAATGATGTACGAAGGATCATGCATAAGTCGTGATGAGTGCGTTCATTTATTTCTCACAGTTTACGTATCACAGCCTCGAGAATATTTCAGGGTCTTCAAAATACCGTCTTGAGATACCAAGGGACAGGTTCAGGATACCCCCAAAAAGCAAAATACCGTCGCTATATGTAAGTTTTCCGGGGCAAGAAAGTATACAAGTAAGTGCCCATAGGTATGATGGCGTCCACTTCGCTTACCCCCTTCATATATTTGATGATCGAACAGTACCTATGTATGTGTCGTTGTCTTCTTTCTCAATTACAATATTACTATTTCCACCAAGAGTCTACTGGGACAATATATCCTGGTTCATACAATTGCTGTACCTCTACTTGGCTTGTTCTTTACTCGCCTTTGGCATTGATTGACCTTTGAAGGTATAAATCACTACTTTCTGGATTGCTCCGCTACGCTACTACACACTACATTCACTCCAAGACCCCCAACAACTCTTTACCTAGGTATCCTTCAGTCACTAATCCATCAACTTTGCTTATAATCGAAGCATCCATCTTAATTGAGATGACTCCTTACTAGGTCAGCACTGTGCGGAATAGTTGGTGTTCGGCCCGCTTAGATTCTTTCCGCTTATCATAGTTTGCTGTGGATAGTATGATCATTCTATTCTCTTCAACAGAAACCATTTTCCCTTTCCATACAGATGTTAACACTGTAACAGATCTCAAACATGACTCGCCTTCGAGGATCTCGAGGACCAATACATATATCTTCATCAAACCACATACTCCAGGAACATTACCTCCGTACAACTGTGAGAGAAAAAACTTTGATTATCGCTTCTGAGTCATCTCTAACACCGTGCTGTTCAAAGCACCCCTTCATCCCTCCATTCGATAGCGAAAAGGAGACAATTATAATACCAAGAGTTTTATCTACGTCTCCATACACAATTATCTAACAAATTCATTACCTTTCTACTCAAAAAATTTGATGACGATCATATATTCTCTTCTTCATCTAATAGCCTCATTTAGGACTTTCGCCACCATAATCAGAGTTTTGCAGCATCATCGCAAACACACTCAAGACAATATGCAAGCAATCTGATGCAGAGAGGCATGAGCATCGAGTATTCATTTACCATTCCCGCAAAGGCTAAGTACACTACTGCATATGCAAGCCTCACCGAACTAGTATATCTAGTAAGTACACATGAGTAATAATTCCTATGCGGGAGACATTGCCGCGATTTTGACAAGGCTCACTTGTTATCAGAAGTGGATACGAAAACGAAATTTGGTTACTTAAAACTATAATACGATTACTCAAGTAACTACTAGATATTTAAATCTATATTATATAGCTAACAAAATAATTTTTGTTATTGCTTACTAGTACTTCTTGATCTCGTTCTCGTCTTTTTTTCCTTCCACTCTATCTATATATATGCTATGACCCCTTCATCGTCTTTTCAGAAGTCTTCGGAATTGGAGCGGATACATTCTATCCGTTTCGGCCGAATCGTCGTAATTTCTCAGGTCTAGAACCGGCCCATTTCTATAAAATCGGTGTCTTAACGACATAATATGGAAAGTGTTCATACCGTTTGAACTCAAGTCAAGAGTTCAGCGTAGCGATTTGATTGTCTATCTCAGACACTCCTCTACTACTTCATACAATTCTTTCACGGATATTGACCAACACTTCTAATTCTTCGAGCTTTCATCGCTATTTGTCAGTGTTTCGTCCTGTATAATTCAATTTAGTCGTCTTTACAATGCGAAACGATATTGGAATTCTATCACGGCGGTGCACGTTCATATTCATCCAATATGGACTTTATATCTGAGATGTCCAGTCATGCAAAGTCGTCTGTCTTGATTAGGCGAGCTTCTCGTGTCTTTCTCTTATTCAAACTCTTAATGCGGTGCTTATTTTGTACGGGCAGCTGATACGGTTCGGTGGAAGCATCGTTTCTTATAGTATCAAACACATACATCATATTGACCAACAACCTAACATATATTCCACACAAGCAGTCTCGATTCTACTTTTTCCTTTCCTCCCAAAAAGTGAAGAAGTGAAGCAACCAACCTCCCAAGCGAATAAATCACTTCAATGCTCTCCTTTTCCATTAACCCAGGGCCAGAACAAACACTCCCCAGTCTCCTCTTGCTCTTATCAAATTACAAATCTCCACTACCCCCCAAACAAAAATCAAGCTTTACCCCTTCAATACAGAAAAGAAAAATCAACCGCTCCAGAATCTTAGAGATTGCTCAACGGGCCCGATGTAACATTCTCAATTGCGCTATCGTGAAACTTTATCATAGGTGTTGGTATACTCTACTTTTTGATCTGATCTATTTTCAATTAGTTAATTGGGGGTATTGGTATCTAAATTCATAGACGGGAAGAGAGCAGAAGAGATGAGGTGGAATGGGAAATACAACATCATGTATGAAATTCCAGAAAGAACATTTGGCATCCCAGTTCCTGCACATGAGTTATATTTTCTCATCTCATCTCTTCTCTTCTACAATTTGAATAAGACTACAATTTAAGCCCTATCCAGAAGTCGTGAAACTTCATAAATGGAGTCTTTGTGTGAAGTCTCTTGTGTTCGTCTATTCTCATTTATATATGTTTATCAATATAAATAACATACTTAACGGATATCACAATATATAAGCAACGCATCATAGCAATCAGAATCCATCAATCAATCTACCTAGTCTTACAAATTACCAATAGGGGAGTCCCAGCGATCATCGCGCAAACCAATTCAAATTTCAAATCAAGAAATCCATGCAACGAATAATCAAGTACCAACTACCCATCCTATAAATATCAAACTCAGCCTTACTTCATTTCTTTCTCTCTTCCCTCCCCTCTTTAACCACATAATTCAGATATGTTTCACAGTTAAACGATTATCAAGCCCATCCCCATCTCAGTTCCCATTTCCAACCCTCACCACCACCATTAATCCTTACTTGCAAACTTGAATTTGAACCAATCTAAGACTCATCCTCATCCCCAGCGCGATTAATAGCAAATTGCTTGTTTTCTTTATTTTTCGCGTCGATGAAGTTGGTGATGTGTTGTGGGACCTGGTTTGAGAGGGTTTGTTAGCTTTTTTTCTTCTTCTCGTGAATTCGTTCCTTCTTTTCTTGATTTCTTCTTATTATCTGTCGAATCAGTTTGCATTACTCCTCCGTCTGCTCTTGATATCTTCTGCCCCTTCTTCTCGCATCGATGAAGTGTTTCTCTCCCCCGGCCCCCCCCCCCCCCAAAACAAAAACAGAAAAAAACCACAAAAGTAATAAAATCTCCTACCTCACGAATCTCACAATCTTCGCCCCGAATCGGCGTTCCATACACAGTATGCACAGGTACTACACCAGTCCATACTCGATTTCTCAATTCTTCATCTTTGAGATCGTGGCGGTCGTCGTGGGGTGGACCGCGACGGATTTTGGCGGAGGCGGTGTGGGGGGTTATGCGGAGGATCTAGGAGTTGGGGTGTTAAGAGGGTCATCGGCAAGGGAGGGGTAGAGGGAAGGGAAACGAACTTGGGTAGTAGTCATTTCTGTCTTCGTAGGAGGAACACGAGTGTTTTCCCATCGATCGGTGAGGACGGTGTTAGTTATTTTTTCCATTGCCCACTACATTTTTGATGTGTTAGTAGTGTGGATGAGGATGGGAGAGTAGAGAGTTAGATTGATTGGGAAGAGAGGGAGAGTTTAGCGAGCTTTTTGGGATGATGCGATGGATGGATGAAGAGAGATATGAATGATCAAAGGAATAATAAATGAAAGGGACAGGGAGAATACATACCAATTTTTCATCGACGTCTTCGACGACTTGACCATAGCCTTGTAGGATTGCACTGCGGTAATTGTAACCTATGGGTTTATTAGTCTTTATTTCTTCTAACCTCCCTTTTCAACCTCCTTTCCTCGTTCTTTCTTCCTTCTATACCTCTCCCTTCATCTCTTCCCCTATCAAAAACATTCCATATCCCCCACATATCCCCACAAACCCCCTTTCATCAAAGACTAGCAAGGAAAAACTCACTATGATTGTTCGGCGTAAGCGCCAGCACCAACCCATCCAAACAACTCGCCGCAACCGTCATCGGCAATCCTTCTTCCCCCTCACTTCCCTCTCCTTCCTCCGAAGCCTTCTTCCCCATCCTCATCAACCGACTACTCACATATCCATGCAAATACAAATTCGCACCTTCGTTAATATTCTCCTCCGTTAAATTTTGCGGGTCGTAGAGCCCCATGAATCCTAACATAGGGAGGATGGCGGGGAAGGGATCTTCGGGGGAGGGAGTATGAACTTTGTGAAGGAGTGATTAGTGAGGGGTAGAGTAAGAGGGGGGTTTGGAGAGTGTAGGGATTTGACAGCATGGAGAGAGGAGGGAAATAGGACCATCATCCCCTCGGAATTAGAAGTAACAAAAAGGTTTATCAACAATCCCAACCAAAAAGAACAACAGATTCCTCCTCGAACTCAAACTCAAACTCAAACTCAAACTCACAAGAAACATGTAAAATCGGCGAACTATTAATAATAGTATGAATGGTATGATGATCATATTTTGCTATTGCGAACGCATTAGTAAGATTTATAACACGTATGTATGCATGATATGGAAGAACAAGATAATGGTCTCGGGAGTATGAAGGAGAAGCAAGCAAGCAAGCATATTAAAAATCCTCGATTCGCCCAAAGCGATAAAGAGGATTAAAAGGAAAGAAAGAACAGAAAAGAAGTTACAGTAACCCCAAACGATCCCAGAGCCATATTCCAAATCCAACAAATCTACCCAGCAGACACGAAAAATTCAAAGATTCAAAGCTTCAACAACTCAAAGAGACCACCGAAACAAAGAGCAAAAAGAGCAAAATAACATACCCCGCGGTCTGTATCTCTGCACCGTATTCCTCGGCGTCTTTGGATACATGGTTGTTTCTGCTTCTGCGTTTACCATATCTTCGTCTGATATTTTTGAGATCTCAAAATCTAGGGCTGAAAACACGGATTCGGATTTCCTAATGTTCTTTCTTTTTCTTTTTTCTTCTTCAGAATTTCGGATCTCAGGTATGTCGACTTTGTGGATATCTCTCTCCTTTCTGATCGTGTGTGAAGGGGAATGTAAATGTAGATGTCAATATTCTTCAACGTTAAAAGTAAACAAGAATGTAAGTATCTACTTCTCCCAAATCCTGCGTATCAAATCTCAAAATTCAAATTCCAAATTACACCTCTATATATACCTTTCCTCCCCTCTCCCTTCCTCTCCCCTCCCCATCCACAATCCACAACCCCAAATCACGTGTGCGGGGAGCTAATTACCGCATCCAGAAAGTCCACGCGAGACCCGGCAAGAGTTTGCGATCACTCATACTGAGGTTCCAATAAGATGGTCATGATTACAGATGTATGTCACTCGCTACCTACCCGCGTAAGCTCGGTACCTCTATAAGGATATCATTATGCAACGAGACGATACGGCGATGCCGATATGATGATCTTGGATGTAGGTAATGCGAACTTGAGTTTGTTCATCGCAATGAGTTTCCTGGTCATGTGTACTTGTACGTACATACTGCGTGTGTACGCGAATTTAATATGATATTTTATCATTGCTACCAGAGAAATCTTATATCTAGCTAGCTAGTTCGGCTCCGCGAAGCTAAGCCCTGCAGTATCCATTGCGTATGAGACTGTATCGAAGCCAAGTAAAATGGAGATCCTCATAGTATCATATCATGCTTAGGTATCAGCATAAAGAAATATGCAATATTGGGTATCAAACCATGAGATCCAGACTCCCGTAAATCCCATTCCTTTCTATCCCAATCCACCCATTCATATCATCTCATATCATAACGAATCATATCCCACATGAACGAATTCAAATATTCGTTTTACATTACACCATCATTAGCTTCCTTTCCCTTTTCCCTTCCTTACTCCCAAACCTTCATCTACGATTCCATGTCCCAATCCCAAACATAAAATGTCCAGAAATGTTCTTCCCCATGAAACTCCCCTTCATCATGTGCAAAATCTAGACTTGCCTGCAATTCCTTTGCAAAACCCCAGATCTCATCTAGGGTATACCTACCACCATGTAAATCTTTCTGTAGACGACCCCAAAATTCTTCATCCTTTAAGCCTCGCTCTTCCTCGTATCTGTACTTTTCTTTAAAATGGTCATAGAATCTCTGTTTTTCATCATCAGGAATATCGCTAAATTTGGCTTCCCTTCGAGATTGAGCAGAGACGGGTTTCCTGCAAAAAGATTTAGGACAGTAGAATGGAGTGCGAGGGAATCTTAATTTACCTGTTAGCACCTCGGGGAGGATCGTAATTGTCCGAGAATGGGTCATTCCGGTCATCGCTACTGCTTTGACTTCTTTGTGACGAGGCAGCGGAACGTTCTCGTTCTACTTGTGGAATTTGTTGCACCGGCCTTCTCGATCTCTTCTTATTTTCCGCTTCCAGCTCTAGTCTGATTCTTTCAGCTTGTGGGAGTTTTCGGTATGCAATTCTCTCCATCTCAAGTTCGATCAGACTAGCTTTCTTTGGGCTGGCCATTATGGTTTTCTGCTGGGATGAGTTGAATTCTCTTATTTTTCGCTCTTGCTCCATTCTCTCAGTTTCCAACCTGGCGTCTTCTTCTTCCCGCACACGTCTACTTTCTTGCGTCAATGCAAAATGTTTCTTAATTGCCTCCTCTCTATGGAGCTCAGCAAGCTTCATTTGACATCCTTGCAATAATACATTTCGCAAAGGAATGCGAAGTTCCTTCATTGGTTGCTTCGTCTGGCCGCAGTCCTCAGGCTGCGAATCCTTCGTCTGTTTGTCGAGAATATCGAAGAGTTTGAGGATTACACTAGTGATCCGAATCACAGTTGATAAAGCCTCGATTGACAACACGTGAAGGTTTCCATATGTAAGAATTGCGGTTCTCAAGAGTCTTAAGAATTCTCGAATAAGAACAATGTATATGTCCTCCAAATATCTACGTCTCTTTCTTACATCAGGTTTGGGGGCATCTTTCTCCAAGGGCTTTAACTTATTGTCTATCCTTTTATCCAAAAGATCCATGATTTGGTCGATATGCGAATTGGCTTCGATCTGCTTGGCATTGTTCTCCTCATTTATTGCTAGTTTAAGGGCTTGATAAAGTTGTTGGAGCATTTTTAAATACCGTTCCATGTTCTTTCCAGATATTGTTGCAAGGCCATGCTTCTCCAGAACTACTGGTATCCACGTACCTCTGGTTTCTCTACAACCGAACCGTTTTGAAATTTTTTCAATATCTGGAAAAAAAGTACGGGTGATGATTCCAGTCCAGGCAACAAGTTGCTCAGAAATTTTTTGATAACTTTCTTCCTCATCATCCGATTCGTCATCAACTTCTTCTCCAGCCGCTTCACGTTGTTCTGGAACATTGGCGGCGGTTGCTACATTAGGTTTTTCTCCAACATCATTGGCCACTGCTCCCGGTTCCCCGTCACCTTCCTCATCTTCTCCGACTTGCTCTTCTCTGCCTCTCACATAGCGCGAAGACTGAATTTTCTTGCTATGGAAACCATTTGCATGGTTGCTACTGATTGTCCTGGCAATATTCGCGCTTTGTTTATGCTGTTCCCGCGAAATTTGACCTTGTGGTTCTGCCGGGGTTAGAGGCATAGCTATTTCTGTAATTCCATCGCCTCCGTCGTCTTCGTCGCCTTGATTTTCTCCGTCGTCTACATGCTCTCCGTCATCGTCCCTCGTTCTCCGAACACTTGCACGTCTGTCGTTGAAGGGGGCACCTACGTCAGGTTGTCCAGGTCCTTGGTCAACTGTGGAGTTACCATTCTCAATATCTGCTACGACAAGAAAATCTTCATCAAAATCTCCAGACTCATCAACAAGGCTCTTGTCAGGCTGACCCCGACCTTTTTTTGGCTTCACACTATACTGTCTGGGTTTCGGGGCACCCTTCACCGATAAACTTTTACTTGCTCGCCTGGAACGCGCGGGTCGAATATCTTGTTCATCTTCCCCGAAAGCGAAGTCATAGATCCTTGCATCATCTCGTTTGCGCTTTTGCGGAGAAGCATTTTGAAGTTGTGATACGTCTTGCGCGCCTCCCTTTTCTTTTTCCTTTGTTATTTGTTCTTTCCTGGGACGGCCCCTCTTTTTCTTCTCAGCTGGTGATGCTGGCTGAGCATTTTCGAGTTCTTTCGTCATATCTTCCGGCTCCAAGCCGGACGGGTCCTCATTATTCTCATTTAATTGCTTGTTCAGTGCATCTTCGACATCCTCGTCTGATTCCGGTGCTACCTGTACAGACTGTCGCGCCTGCCTAGTGGATGGAGCATATTTTCTTGCGACTTTCATGTCTACTTTTGGCGGTGGTCGATGTATTTTGTTAAGAAAGTCCGCCGATGAGGCATCATCTGCTAGCCCTACCATTGATAATACAAGGTTAGATATAAGTACAATTGTGTAAGTAATGATGAATGCACTTACCAGCTCCTGATCGCGTCGACTTTGAAACACCACTCTTCGCCTCTGCTAATATCAGGCAATTAGATATAGTCGCGTAGTTATTATCAAATGCACTTACCAGCTTCTTGACGTCTAGTTTTTGGCATGGTTCTGAAGCTCCCTTGAGAGAATGATTGATTGACCTTAATTGCGCGAATATTTGTAGTGGAGATCTTGAGAGCGCTGTAGTACGAGTCGAGAGACTTGCTCTCAAGGAGCTGTATTTGGAATTATTATGGAAGATTCATTCAAGTGGACGTATCAATCGGAACTTGTCGCGGCGCATTCATGATGAAGTATTGAACAAAAGATATGGAAAATCTGATAAGCAACCGCAGAGCAACAATAAATAATGCTTGAAATTTGAACCAATCAAAGAGCTCGGAACAAGCAGGGATATAGCTCTTTGATTGATATCATAATGCTTACCCCATGAAAAATGATATCAAACAGAAACGCCTCGAATTTATATCTTCATCACGTTAACTCTTGCCACGGAGCGAAATTGAACATGGCTTCACAGCAAATACCAAACTCAACTGCAGAGACTTCTTTATCTCGAAGTTTAGCGATTCTAGATTCATCACAGCCACATACTTTTATAAAGCCTGTAAAGAGAATTCATGAAGGTCACGATGTGCCCCACTTCCTCACATCAAAGGCCTATACCGATATTGGTGTTTTTATCATGCAACTCAATATTGCTATGTGTCCAAGGAAATCATCTGAGATAGGTGGCACTCCTCAGACGTGGACACTCGATTCTCCCTTGGAGCTATCAGAACCCGTGAAGAAACTACAAGAATTACTGCAAAATATTGATGCTATCATTGATGAAGCACCACCCGATACAGGACCAAGAAGATTTGGAAATGTTAGCTTTCGAAAATGGTACGATTTACTGGAGACGAGAGCGAAGGACTTACTGAAGCAGCATTTACCGGCTGAGGTACTCCAATTTGGAGGGAGTTCTCCACATGATGAAGTACCGGCTTTGGATGAACTTACTTCCTATCTGCTGGGTGGATTTGGAAGTGCGCAGAGACTGGATTATGGAACGGGTCATGAACTTAGCTTTTTAGCTTTCTTGGGATGTATTTGGAAGTTGGGTGGGTTCACCAAAACACCTTCAGGTGAAGGCGAGTTAGAGAGAAGTATTGTTATGGGTATTGTAGAGCCGTATGTTTTCTCCTCGCTTTTATTAAAAAAATGTGCTCATATGACCATTAGTTACTTACGTGTAATCCGTCGTCTTATTCTCACATATACTCTAGAGCCAGCTGGATCTCATGGTGTATGGGGATTAGATGATCATTCATTCTTACCATACATCTTTGGATCTTCTCAATATTGTCCAGCTATTACCAATGATGAAGCGATGCCAGTTGAAGGATCTTTACCAGAATCTCCAAATCCAGGAGATGTAGCTAAGAAATTGACGGTTGATCGAGAAAGAAAGAACAATATGTATTTCTCTGCTATTGGTTTCATCAATGATGTCAAAACTGGCGCATTTTGGGAACATAGTCCAATTCTTTTTGATATCTCCGGAGTACGATCAGGATGGGGAAAGATAAACAAGGTCAGTATTATTCTTGACAACTACAACCATTCTAATAAGGTTTAGGGAATGATCAAAATGTACAACGCAGAAGTACTATCTAAATTTCCAGTGGTACAACATTTCCCATTCGGATCATTATTTAGTTGGGATCAAGACCCTCATGCTGTATCAACGCCTCAAACAGTACACACAGCAAATCAACCTCAACCAACAGGTTCGGGCGGAACACCAACCGCCCGACCATCAGCACAAGAAGGTACAAGAGCACCATGGGCCAATCCTTCACAATCTCAAGGTATGCCGCCTACAGCGGCACCATGGGCAAATGCAGGAGCAGCTACCGGTATGCCTTCAACAAGACGAACGATACCTCCCACATCTGCAACGGCTTTCACAAGATCAACACCTCCCTCGGGATCACTAGCCCCGACGACAAGACCGTCTCTTCCAAACAATGATGTATCAACATCATCAAACATACCACATCCAGATAATGGACCAACACGTGCACCATGGGCAAAATAAATAAAGAGAAGACGTTTTTGATGATCCAAAGAAGAAGAAAAAAAGGGGGTAAAAAAAAGTACAAATACAAATACAAATACCTAGTACAAAACCCTTTCGGAGGGTTTCAACTAGATATTAGCTAGCTAGCTATACATAGAATTATGCAATCAAGGTTAACGTTATTTATCAATGATTCGCTTCCACTCCAGTAATTAGCCAAGTACGATTCAAGCAATCATTTATTATTCATCCATTTTCCATTGATTTATGTGGGGACGCACGTCAAACTATTTCCATGGGGTATTATGAGTAAGTCGTGTGCGCATCATCCCGTGTCCCTAGTGGTGCCACAGTCAATGTCAGTCAGGTGTGACAGATAGCCTCGGCAGCTCATTTAGTGTACGATGTACGAGGGACTAGGGTTAGGTTTGGGTATCATTTCATTACAGTCGTTTGGTGGGTGGGTTGGTTGGTCGGGTGTTGGGTTGATTGAACCCCGGGTGGGGATGAGGGTTTGGAACTTGCAATTGGAACCTTGAGGGGATTTTTGATTTTTTGATGTTTGGGTGTGGGTGTGGGTGTGGGTGTGGGTGTGAGGATTAGGATTAGGATGTTGGTGAAATTGAGACATTGAGACATTGAGATATGGCGAGTGTAAATTGTACATTTTGGGGATGGGATGGGATGGGATGGGAAATTAGTGGGTGATGTTGATGGGAATAGGGGATGGAGGGATGGTTTTTGGGGTTGGGGTTGGATTTGGATTCGGATTGGGGTTGAGATATATATAAATTTGGGTTTGGGTTTGGATGGTGATTATTGAATGAATGAATGAATGCCTGACTGACTGACTGACGTCGTGACGTTTATGTACGATAGAGTTTACTATATAGTATGTACCTAGTACCTAGTACCTAGTACCCGACCTCCTAGAGGTAGATAGATATAAATTACCTAGTCTTCTCTATCTACCTACTGGAATTCTCGGGTCGAGCTGGATAGCTAATCTATATCTGTTTCTCTCACGACAACCTTCCTTTCTTTCTTCCTTTTTTCTGATGAGTAAGGAAGGTGGAATATTTGAGTATGTATGTATGCTAGCTATAAAGATGTGATAAAAGTGGACAATAGACACAATTACAGTATATCATTGCATGGACGACGATCTCATCCACATACCGATATATCTCCTTGATTTCGAATCTTCGAGTTTTCGAATCGCTCTCTTGGATGTCGATGTCGATATCGATATGGGATTGAGATTGGGATGTGTGTATGGATGGATGGATGGATACGTGTGTGTATGTGTGATAATCTGCGCATCTCCGATATGATTCACATTTGGAAGACTGGGTGAGGGAGGGAGGGATGGATGCGGCCCTTTTATATGGAAGGGAAGATCCTTTTGGGAGATTTGCTTCTAGGGATTTGGGAAGTGAGATTGGGAGTGGGAAGTGAGATTGGGAGGGGGAAATGCGATTTGGAGTTGCTGAAATTGGGTTGTCTGGGTATTGGTCATTTGGTATGGATGGTATTGGGGTTTGGATTTGTTGTGGACTGGTAGGTAGGTAGATAGACAGGTAGGTACTAGGTGGGTATGAAACATTGATCATTTTACATAAGCGTGGTTCTTCGGGTTCTTCATCTTAATGTTGGTGATTGGTGATTGATGATTGATTTTTGGGAGGGTTGGAGATTAAAGCTTCGAGATTGGAGATTGGGACTCGGGGAGATTAGGAGGTAGGTAGGTAGTAATCCTTGAGTTCTGAGTGAGTTATGGCTCATGAGTCGGTTGAATGGTTTGATGGTGGTGGTATGATTGTTGGTATGATTGTTGGTTGGATGTAACGGTTTGATATGGATGATGGATGTGAGTGACATTTGACCTAGTAGATGCGATGGAGGACTACTGCATAGGATATTTTTAGGATTGTTCAAGGTATTCAAGGTATTCAAGGCCATAGATTCTAGATTGGTCTTAACCTTGAAGAATATACCTAGGCAGGTTCATTATCAAATATAGAAGCTATATATACCTAGGTATATATATATATATATATATGAATTCTTTAGATTCATGGGTATGATGGATATATGTGACTATACCCCAATAGAAATGCTGGATATTGAATAATGCACATGGTTCGAAGATCGAACAGGATAAACGTGATAAGAATACCAGGGAGGCAATGTACCTTTCTTTCTTTCTTTCTTCTCTCTTCTTTCTTCTTTCTTTTCTTGCTCCCTCCCTACACGCTAGATGCGCACAACACCTGTGAATGGATGAAAGGATGAAGGAAGGAATAAGTGAATGACTGAATGAATGTGGCATGTGCATGTGTGTGTATGTGTGTGTGTATGTGTGTGTGTATGTGTGTGTAGTGCATGTGTCATTTATTAGAGTTAGACCCAAATGAGGGATAAGGTTTGGAATTCTTGGTCTGATCTTATCTTCAAATGAACCTTCAAATCACTAGGGAGGGAGTGTGGTAGTGTGTATCTCTCAACAACAAAAACCGTCAAACCTCCTTTCCAATTATCAATTTTGATTCATTTTCATTCTTCTCTCCCTTTTCCATACGTGATCTTTTCATCATCACTCCGAACACACACACTTTACTTTACCTTTCTTCACTTTTCTTCACTTCACTTCACTTCACTTCACTTCAGGAGTTGTTACGAGAGTAATAATTTCATCCATCCCATCTCTCCAAAATTAAAAACATCCAAAATCAATCAACTCCCCAAATCCATCAAAAAGTTCCAGAACACACATCCACATCCACCCAACTTATCAAATCTCTTCATAAATCTTTAAGATTTGATCTTCGCAAAAGGTCTCATTCTTCTTTCCGACAAACTCGTCGAAAGACCAAAATAATTTAAAATCACTCCATCCATACCAGGGGCTTTAATCCACTCTAAAAGAAAATCTATCAAAATGCCCGGCGTTCGTAAGTAAAATCATTTCCATTTTCATCTTCTGCTTCGATTGTTTCTTCTTCCATTTCATTCATCCATTCTCTCATTCATTCATTCATTGCTTCATTCTCTCTCTCTCTCTCTCTCTCTCTCTCTCTCTCTCTTTCTATTAAGACGACTTTATTGTTTTCTTGAATTTGCTTCATTTATTCCATCACTCTCATTTTCCATCTTTTCATCACATTCTTTTATCACCTGTTGTATTGTATTCAAGTCAACGAGATCATTATCGTCGTTTGATTTATTTCTATTTACCCTATTTTACTTTAATCCTATCTATCACCTAATCAACCACATCTTTCAAAATGGGTATTTACTTTTTACACTTGTCACCATATCTCTTGTTTCCTACATGTCTATCTATCCATCTGTTTCTGTACTCTCATCCTTCCCGTATAATAACTAACAGTCATTCCTACAATAGCACCAAAGGCATTCGAGACCATCAAGGCCAAGTTCAAGGCTCTCCTCAGAGGAAAGAAATCCAAGAAGGCTGAAGCTGAACCAACTGCCGATGCAACAAAGACCGATGCAGCTGCAGCTCCAGCTACCGAAACCGCTGTTACTGAACCAGCTGCTGAAGGAACTGCACGTATGTTGTGAAATCTCAGTCTCATCCCTTCTCACACATACTAACACATCCCTTGCAGCAGAAGTAAAGGCTACTGAACCAGCAACTGCTGAAACTCCAGCCCCAACTACCGCAGAAGCAGCTCCAGTTGTAGCCGAACCAGCCAAGACGACCGAAACTGGTGAGCCTCCCTATATAATCGGAACCTTGGTGAAAGCTCATAGTACTGATACTTCAATAGCAGCACCCGAAGCTCCCAAGGTCGAAGAACCTCTTAAGCCTGAGCCCAGCGCACCAATCGTCGCTGCTACTGCTCCTCAACTTTAAATGATGTCATCTTTCGATATTATCGATGCGCCAGCATTATATATATGATATATGATGCAAGCAAGATGAAACGCATTTACCTACCTTTACCTTTGAATTACACGTACATTTGATTTCGAACTCGATACGGATATGGGAGATACCCAAATACAATCTCTTTGATACCATGGTGAAGATGGTGTTAAAGATCCATGTTGTAATGGCAGGAGGAGATACGACTGATGGTGAAGCTTTAGGTGATGGATAATACAGACACCTCTTCATCATGTCTATCAAAGCATGGTTGAATTTCCGCAACAGAAGTCGTCAGAACAGGATAATAATGTGTTATCATGTTTCCTTTGTGTTTTCTTTGCTCTTTTATGTCTATTCAAGGTTTTCCTCGATGGTCTTTTTAGTTTTTCAAAGTTGATTGAGTTGAAATTGATGAGATGTTTTTATCGACGAAAGCAGATATACATCCACTTCATTCACACAAGATTGATTAAGGAGAACGAGGAATGGATTAGATGTGGATTTCTCGATTTCTTTTTTACTTTGTTTTATTGAATTATAGTATCTAATTGTACATGGACGGGCGCGTAAGCGGAACGAATGGTCATATACCCCCTGATACCCTAGGTACCTAGTTCTCGTTGTGGAGAGGAGAGAGAGGAGATGTGGTTTGTTTATAGGAATGAGTTTATAAGAATCTTGATCTTGAAATGAAGAAAGTCTTAGTCTTTTGTGTGAAGTGAAACAAGTGAGTGGTGAGTGATTGAGCGAGTGTGTTGGCTACATGTGAAGCTGGTTTGGGAGGCTTCCAAGTTTTGTAATGGATGGGGTGTGCTGAGTGAGTAATTCGTGGAAGCTGGATTGAGAGAGGGGAGTGAGAAGTTGAATGTGAGTGAGTGTGTGAGGGATATACGTGATGGAGAGGTAAGAATGAGTGAGGTCTAAGGGAGAAGCAAGAGTAAAGTTGGAGATACTAGGATGAAAGGATCTGGTGATTGGGTAATGTAAGTGAGATGGCAGTTGGATTGATGATTGAGGAGAGGATAGGTGGGAGAAGAGCTGTGCATCTTTCTGGTATTTGGGTCTTGTGTGAGCTGTTGGTCAGAGTAGGTGGGTTGGTTGGTTGGTTGGTAGGGAGATGATGGGTTGGTAGGGAAATGGTGGGTAGAGGGGTAGAAGGGTAGGTTTTTAGAGTGGAAAGAGTTGGGTGGAGGATGGAAATGAGATTTATGAATGGAGATAAGATTTATGAATGGAGATAAGATTTATGGATTGGTAATAGGTGATGAGTGACGAGTGATGAGTGATAGGTGATAGGTGATAGGTAATAAGTGATAGGTGAGGGTTGAGTATGAGGAGTTGAATGGGAAATTTGGGGAGGGATTGGGTTGGGTTGGGGAGGGGAGAGGAGAGGAATAGTGGGATGGTGAGAGAAATGGTGGTGGATGTGAGTATGGACGAATGGAGAAAAGTCAGTGCTGCATGTTATTGATGGGAATAGGCTAGTGAGGATCTTTGGAGTATGGAGTATGGAGTATGGTATGGGGTACGAAGGGAGTTAGGGGGAACTAGGGGTTCTGATGATTGAGAAGGGAGAGAGAAGGAAAGGATGGAAGAAGGAAGAAGGGTGGGCGGGAGAGGGAGAAGATGGAGAAAAAGAGTGTGATGATGCATGTGCTTGGAGAAGAAGCATTGCGAGAAGAGGGAGGAGAGGAGAACTCGAGAGTGGAGAGTGGATTTCTGCTTGCGGGAGCAAGGTTTTGGGGAAGGGTGTGGAGAGGGGTTGGTTGGATCTCGGGATGAAGAACTTAAAGGGGATGTGTGGTTGTTGTTATTTGTGGGGTGGGAAATGGTGGGTTGATGGTTTGTAGGGGATGAGAATAGAAGAGAGGAGAGGAGAGGGATGATGGGGTGTGATGCGAGTTGGAAAATATAAGTCAGCGAAAGAAATATGATTATTTGTGTATATCTACCTAGTGTCTATCTATCCCTCTCATACATAAAGAAGTTCTCTCATACGCGGAGGTAGGAACCGAACTTAACTCGTCGTTTTGATACTTGTTACTTGGGTGCGGTGTTGGATTTGATGGGGATGTGGAATTAGGAGGTAGGGGTTAGGGATAAGAAATCATAGGAGTGATTTTCTAGGGAGGGCTGGATTTTGGGGGTTGATGATTTGTGGAGAGAAGGGGAGATGCTTGTGGGTACGGAGACAAAGACAAAGACAGATAGAAGTGGAGAGTGAGTGGGATGAAGCATGAAGAGATTAGTAGTCAAGGAGTAGATTCAAAGAAATGAGGGAACAAAGTGAGTGTAGAATAGATCCCTAACCATGCCCGGGTTCGAGTTGATGTATTAGGGGATTCAAGGGATATATAAGTGAGGAGGCAGGAAGTTTGAGATAGTCAAGTCAATGACGAGCAAAGAGGAAGATGAAAATGCTTATGGCATGTTCAGAGGGAAATTGAGCGGGAGGGGCAGTGCTTTTGGGAAGGCTGTTGAGGGGTTGTAAGGGGAGGGAGCGGGTTTAGTAGGGCTGAGGAGAGATCGGATGTTAGGAGAGAAAATGAAAAATAGCAATTAGATTAAAGAAACAAAGTGAGATGATAGTGAAATATGACATAAAAGCAGAGAGAACATATAGGTATCAATATCATCCCAAGATCATTTCTCCAGAATAAATAACAACAAAGCACGCACGCACGGGATAAATTCCCTACTCACAACACAATACTCCACAAAAACATACTGAAAAATGTAGGTAGTTCAAACCATGAACTGAAAGGAAGAGCGTGGCTGAAAGTACCAGTATGGTCCACGGTAGGGCGTTCCCTGTGTCTCAGCAGGGTTTTTGGCTTGATTTGGAGTGGGAGTGGGAGTGGATGGACGAAGGGGGGGTGATATTTATGTAAATAGGAAGAGTAGAGTGGAATGAGAGTACGCCAGGAGGAGAATTGAGGAGGTGAATAACAAGAATGAAGAGATTAATGACTAAAAACTAATTTCGAGCGGAGAAAACATGAGGTGAATCTAAGATCAAATCCCTAACCCGGCCATGCTCGAGCTGAAACTTTATCTTCTAGAAATATGTAAATAAGTATGAATGCAGCAAGTTTCAGATATTCAACCACAATTCAACACGTTGGGAAACAACACCAGGAGCGGAACTCTCGTTCGGCGTTGCGTCGTGCGAAATAAACGTATTTCGTGAGTTTAATAATGGAACTACCAGATAGAGTTTTCAGTATTCAGATATTCTTAGCACATGTCCTCTCGCATTATCGTTTCATGTTTTTGCTGTCGTCGAGCTCGCATTATTGAGTTATGTTGTATCCTATATTCTCTGCCGGTTTTCTCTCTCGTAGCTGATGTCGCCTACATTGCATGATATGCTCTTGTTACTTTGAGTGGTGTTCCCAGTGCCGCTGTATCGGTTGAAATTCTGTTTGCGTTGGCTTTCCAGCGGACTAGATAACTTTTTGCGGGGGAGATGTGGGATAGAATGGGAGATTGATGTGGTAAATAGGAAGAGAGTTGGTGGAAAGGGGTTTGAAGTTGAAAGAGGAGAGAGGTTGGGAGTGAATCTCGGTTAGGCTATCCGTGGGGTGGGGTGGGTACATGTTTATGATTTGGATGTTAGATAGAAGTATCTAGGTAGGCATTTGGTCGTTTGGAATTTTGAAAGTAAAAGCTATCTACCTATCTATTTAAAGACCTCAAAATCTTACGGCTTTGTTGGGTATAGTATATGAGGAGAACGAGCAGATCAGCCACGGTGGTCTGACGCGGATCTGAGGTGGTGGGAATTAAGTACGGCAAATAAATAGGTGTGCAACGATGTTTCCAATATCTGCGGTTTATGGAAGGGGGAAATAGTGATATTTGGATGGAGTTTGAAGGAAAAGGGATAATAAAAATGGGATGGTGGATGTAATGAGATGAGCATACGAAAAGAGAATCTTAAAATGAGACAATAATAATACAATAGGATAAGAAAACAGAACGAGTGTCATACTCATCCGAAACGTGAGCTTCTTAACACCCAAGAAACCGCGAATTCGAGATATCAACTTGACGATAATGACATAATCTTGTTCTGCAGACTCTGGAGCTATATATGCCACGTTGAGGGTGTTTTGTGTGTTTATAAATTTGGGGGCTTGGGAATGAAAGGGATGGTGAATAGGGTGTGAGCAATAGGAGGTATGAAAGTGGTGAGAAGGTGTAGAGGTAACGTGGAAGAGGCTTGATACGGGATGAAGGTTGTGTGAGTTTCGTAGTGATTTCGGAGATAAATTACTGAATGATTGATTTCATCCTGCCGCCGAGCCCGAAAAATTCTTTAGAGATTTTCAGGTGACTTCTGTCCACTTATGTATCGATCATATCAGTCCTGATGTTTCGTGTAACCGTGAACAATTTACGATGCAACCCGCCTCAGCGGCTATTGATTTGTGAAATGAGGGAATTTATGATTTTTGGAGAAATTTGAGTGTGCTTGTGGACGCTGCAAATGCTCTGATGGTCATTCTTGGAGGAGAAAGAGTGAAGGAATCAAGGGAGGATAGTATAGTATAAGAACAAACGAAGGAAGAACAGGATGAGAGTACAATACAAAGTATAGATATAAGATAAATTGACCCCAAGACTTCCATAACACCCACTAACTTCAGACTAAAACCGGCGATGCAAAATGTAAGTCCAATGAGGTTGTAGTTTTTCAAACTACTTCTGAGCCTGATTGGTGAAAGTCAAGTGGTTATAAGGAGGGGAGTCAGAGAGAGCTTCAGGTTGTGGCTGAACCGAATTGGGTGCATGAAACTGGAGAATGAGAAATGCGATCAAGGCAGTAATTAGAAGACTGGATGGGTGCAAAGCTTTCGATATATGTTTAAGCAGAGCCACATAGCCTTTTTCACAAACGAAGTCTGGAGATATTGCAACCCAGATTATGAGTGACACGACTTGAGCTGTATCCAAGGAAAAACCAACAGCAGACATCATGAGGTGCTTTAGGGCTTCTGTGGAAAGTTTCTCAATCTGTATGCGCTGATGGCGTGCTATACAAACGTACGTATGCGTGGAGGTAAGAGCAAGGAACTTGATGTGAGAGAGTGAGAAAAAGATGGAATAAGATGAGACGCAATTAATACTTGACAACAAAATAAGATAGGATGAGATAAATAAGCAATTCAATATCAGCCCAAATAAACAATAATTCGACTACTAGAAATCATGATTTGAGTGCAAGAAGCTAGGGACATAGGTTTCAACGACATTATATTCCCCGTTTAGGTCACCTGCGTTATCTTTGAGAAGGAATTCTCAAGAACGAGGAGGAGATGGAAGATTTATATCCATAACCTGAGGAAGCTAATGTGGGAGTTAAGATGAAGTGAATTGGTGATTTAATTTGAGGCTTAGAGACTGAAAAGCTCTTGGGATTGATTAGAGTGGCTGAGTCTAGGAGAATGGAGTCGATGAATGATCTGCGTGTGTGACCAGCTTGTACGTAAAATGGGTGAATGAGCGGGGAAGTAGGAAATTCGAAGTTAGTCTGCGATACGCTCAATAGAAAGTCATAATTAGGATGGATCTCCGAAGAAGTCAGAAGTCGATAATTGCAATGCTTCGCAAAGAGCCTCTCCTGAGACCACTACGGTTGTGAAAGGGCAAGTTGATAGTCGCTCCTTGCATCAGTAAGCATAGCTACCCGCCAGTGTGAGACTTACGTGGGTTGACAGCTGTAAAGTAGTGACGAATAATATCGGAGAGTCAATGTGTACTTGGGCTATTTGTTCACTATTCGAAAAATAGAAATAGACAATAAAGTTACTGAATGATAACGATATGAATATTTCTTGTAGACTAATGTCTCTACATCATTTCAAATTTCATGGTGTGGTTTGTGTAACCATGACTCGGGTTATGTGATCACAACTACAAGAACACCTAGGATTACCCTCTCTACTTCAGGTATGCCATAGTTGACTTCGATAAACATAAATCTCAGAACGCCGGTTTATAAGCTATTGAAAAGCAAAAGAAGGGAGGGAAGAGGAGAATAGGATCAATAGACAAGCTACTAAGGTGAATTTGTGTATTGATTAGTTGATATCAGAAGATAGACGTGAATCAGTGAATTCAGAACATAAATGGGGCATTAAAGAACGTAGTTCAGAGGTGATATATATAAATCACTTGTCCCAAATCCAGATACCACATCCCTCAGAAGAAACGCCAAAAGTGTGGACACAAGGAGATAACGCAGTGCAAGATTCTGGTGGCTTTACAATACCTATCATGCAGTTACGATATTCGCAACTCTGAATTTGAGTCGAAGCGACGAGAGAATATCTGATAAATTTATCGAACGAAATCAATGGCAATAAAAAGGTTTTGATCAACAGCGAGTATGATTTTTTGGATTGGGGATTGAAAGGAATCAGGAAATAGAAGCAAAAAGTGTAGAATCCCCTCTCAAATGAAAAGCCAGCAGAGAAACAATGGATATTTCAGGGAGCCACTCCTTTATGAGCCATCTGAGAAATATTCGGTTTCTACTCTGCTACGAACTAGAGATTGCAATGAGTCTTAAATAGAGGCATGATTGAGAAAAATATAAATATGCGTTGTCAAGTGAACATACTTCAGGTCTATCCAAGAAAGACTAGATGCGCAGAGATGAGAGGCTGCAATCGAGGTGAATTTTAAGGGCTCGGGATCTGCGGGGCTCTGAGTTGTAAAGTGAGCGTATGAAGTTCATAAAAACACCGTACTATGCTCCGAAAATAAGATGGGAAAGGAGCATTTTGTAATAATGCTCCGAGAAAGAAGAGATGATAGCGAGACAGAGTGTAAATTAAGTTTCTAAGGTCAGAAAGAAAATGTAAGATCACGTCCAAAAAAAAATCTACATCTCAAGAAACATAGAATATTGCACATGTGAGGTTCTAATTTCTAGCAACTATAACTTTTCTTGAGGGTTTGAATACAAATTGAGAGGTCTATGTACGAGAATATGTAAGGAACTGCAAGGGATTTCGAAAGCGCAAGCGAATGTGGGGATGTGTTGAGGGGTAAATACGCGAATAATTGAGTTTTCAAAGACTTGACGATGTGACTAGCATAAATAGGAAGGCAAAATGGATCATGCAACATCCTGTAAGTCTCAAATTCAAAAAATTGGAGGCCATTTTCATTTGGAAAAGGGTGGCAATGACAAAATTGAAGTACTAGGAGTAGTTGAAAATAGAAAACTCAACATTTTGTGCCGCGTAGTCTGTGGCGTGTATAATGATCGCTTTGTTCTAAAATCTGGATACCCGCGACTGTACAAGTACTTCGTCGTGAACAATTCAATCATTACTCATACTAAGAGACATTGCTACCACGTTTGACTGCCGAGGCAGAGCTTCCAGGCTCCTTGCAATGCTTTTGATTAATCTCGCTATTTCCGCCATCAACTCGCTTATTGTTGCTGCTGGAAGTCATCGCTTCATGTTCGCGAAAGACAACAAATACTGTGTTTGATGACAACATTAACTAGTCTTTCGAAATAATTGATAGGCTTGGAAAGCAAAAGTGGTGCAGAAAATGGCCCAGGATATTCTAGCTTCTACACCGAACTCTCGCCAGTCACAGCAATTGTAGGAGGACACCCCCGGAACAACATGGAACAGACTGGTATTGTTAGCGCTCATGCTGACACCTCAATTCGAGACCTCTTTCAGGTAAACAATTCAGACCCGCAAAATCGAGGATGTATCAGGAATGAAGTGACTGGAAGGATGATTTAATCGGGAAAGAGACCTTCAACTATCCAGTGAATGCTAGGCAATAAATGTGAGTTGGAGATGAATTTTGTTCTTTGGTAGAGCTTAGGGAAGAGGGGAAAGAGCAAGGCGAAACAGGAGCAAATAATCTCGTGACTGAATATTCAATTCTGCCAGCCGTCAGTTGACTCAATATTAACCACATGAATATAAATCTGCAAGATGAAGCTCTTCCTGCTAATAACATTATGAATGTTTGAACAGAAACCATGATTCGGATGCGGGAGCAACAGTATCAGAATGGCTATTGCCACGTCAAGTCTTACCTAGAGAGAGGATACAAGATCGATTTTCCAAACATAACAACTATCAAAGGCGGAAGGTGCATTACATTCGTTGTCATTTTCATACATAATTCAAGCAACTCACTTCGACAACATCAATATAACCAGTTTGGAGACGAGAACTAACCAACAGTCGATAGTAGAAGTATACTCTCAATAATAACAACAACAAAAATATGCATGAAATACAATCAACAAAAGCCCTAAAATTCAGTATAACGATATCCCCTGATTCAGATAATCTAGCTTGACACTTGTACTCACATATTGCGCTTTGGCGGATGACCAAAGAATCAAACTTCATAGGAAGTAGAAACAAAACCTTCGAGTTGTTATATCTATCGATTCCAGTAATGCGAGATTGGAGTTTATGTAGACGAAAATCTGTGGATACCGGCGGGAGTTTTGATAATTTGGGATTTCTAGATTCAAAGGGTCCGAGTCGTTTGAAGTTTTACTAAATATTCTATCGAGACCTCGAGTGAATTTAAGAAGAGGGGAGATTCCAAGGCTGATAAGATCTCGATCAGATAGCTGGGTTTATTCAATGCTAAGAACATAAATAAGGCGGACTCCTCATCGCACTTATTTGCGCTATTCTTCTACGTTCATATTTGATAGTATCCAGGCTTTCAATCTGCTAAGAGATTGACGGGATTATATAGATGTACAGTAAGAATAGCTAAGAATATGACTTTGATATTGTACCACTAGAATCGACAGATGATAATCTCAGGAAAAATTGACAGCGAGCATGTTTTCGTTAATATGTCTACAGCCTATACCCAAACTTCCAAAGTAAGGATATGCTATGAAGCATTCCCCGAAACCCCCCCGTGAAGTGTCCCATGTAACTTTCCTCTGGATTGTGACTTGTGGTCATATCATGCACTTGCGTTATCATATCGGTTTTGTGGAACAGTTCGCTGCGACCATAAAGAAAAGAAAATCATGCAGTGCATGATCCTTCCTTAAGTAGTCGACCAGTGACCTCACTATCCATGGCTACACGTACCAACCAGCCATGTCTCCACTCTCAGACCATTCTTCCAATCCACTCTATCTGTGATCTTCGAAAAGCTGCTATATGAACGTAGAAGCTTTCCAAACCTTGATTTCTGCATTCCGAAATAATCTCATGCCCATACTATTTACAACGAGAAGCAGAGTGTCGAACGATATTGTGTCCAAAAGAAGAATTCGAAGGAGACGATATAGGCGGAATATCAAACTATGATGATAGTCCATTACAACTGCAGCTTACAATTAATTAGTTACTCACAATAGTATCTCCGCAGAAACTCTCGTCTAATATTCTGAAACTACGATGACACATGGAGTTTAACGACAGAATATTTCTCCAACAACAACACTAACTCCTCAGACGACAACCTCTAGAGTCAACCTCGGATTTTTCGTCGGGGCCAGGAGAGAACACTTTGATTGAAAACCTCCGACACAGTAGCCAGAAATTCAAGAAACCAAACTGCATTCCAGCATACTATTCCGACATGGCATTGACGCAGGGTCGATATCCTTGTTGCAAAATAACAATTCCGAGATCACCTTCTCCAGCTATAAAGAAAAGGGTTGGAACTTTTGAACGATGGAACCGAGCTGTAAGATGTAGGATTTAGGTGAATCATAAAAAAGATTGAGTAGCTTTATTGAGGGGTAAAGTGGTACATGATACAAAATCGTAAGATCTTAGAGGGTGTAATAGATAAAATTCACCATGACAGTTCCACCACATGCGACCTTGAAGCCTCATCCGCTACTAGTAGAAGAGAAAGCCACGCATGCCCCCTCATCAATTCACTCGAATTCAAAATCCGAACAAGATTCTAATGCTATTTAAACTACCACAAACCCACGAGTTTGGTTATACCAAACAAAAGAGCAATAGCGAGACCAACTCAAAATGGGGAAGTTCCGGAGAATAGGAAAGATTAACATCAAAACAATATAAAGCAGGTCACCGCCATTCATGGGACAAGATTGGGTCGAGATTGATGAACAAATTAACAATTTTCCACAAAACCGCAGGATAAACGACAACAAGAGATTTTTACAATTCTTTCCAAATGAGAAAGAATAAATAAACGAACAAAAAAGATGATCCTAATAAGCCCCCAACCTCTCTCCAAAAGAAAACCATCTCAAAGCACTGGATATCAAACTAAAGCACAAACACAAACCCCTCCAAACCCTCTCCAAAGATTAAGCCCCCTAACCACGCAACCCAATTCAACTCATAAATCCACGCCCAGTCCCACATCTCCTCTTTAATTCCCTCCCGTACCACCCGCATTCCCAGAAGCAGCAGCTGCACTAGCCGCAACACTCACCTCCGTCTTTCCACTTCTTTTCCACTGTACATCGAAGATATTAGATTAGCTTTTTTTTATCCAATTGTGTATCCATCCATCCTCTCACATTCTCATATTCACACTCCCATACATAACCAACCCCCTTCCCCCTTCTCCCAATCCCCAAACAAGAAAAGAAAATAGAAACAAAACTCACAACCGCAACCAAAAATCCACAATTCGCACACTTATGGTGTACATCCTTAAAGCTCGTCATGAGGTACGGTACGCACGGGAGACAGAAACAGAGACAGCAGAGGAGAGCTGAGATACTATGGATTGGGCGGTTTAATTAGCTTTTTTCTTCATCTTTTTCCTCCCTCTTCCCACCCCCTCTCCATTCCCCGCAAGACTCCAGACTCCAAATCCCTCCCCTCTTTCAGAAACCCCAAAACAAAAAGAAAAAACACCTACTCTGCAGTCCCCCCACTAACCCACTCCACCCCCGTATACTCACACACCCCACACCTCGGACACCTCACCAATCTCGATTCCTTCTGTAGGGACGTGAGGGGCGCCGGATGTTGACCTTCATATTTTTCTCCCACATTCCTACCCCCATTCGCATTCGTATTCATCGATACTTCCGGATGGATTTGAAATTGCGGGGGAGTTTCATTACTTCCATGATGACTACTCTCCACAGTCCTCTTCTCACTCAAATGCTGATCGGCGTGAGCGTTGTACGAAGGAGGAGAAAGAGGGGATTGAGTATTAATTTCCGCATGGCTTGTGTTTATCTCATTGCTAGTTTCAGTTCCGGTACCGGTTCCAGTGCTAGTGTGAGGAATTTGATTGTGATTATAATTCTCTACCACCATTGGAATATCAGAATGTGCTGTTTGTGTTGAGGGAAGATTTGTATTTGTGTTCGTATTGGTATTTACGGGTGATTTGGTTTCCATTTTCGTGCTTGGTTGATCGATCAATTGATCGATGAGTTGGATATATCCACTTGCGAAGTAATGAGGGTATCCAAAAATCCGTGAATAACAGTCGTCTAGAAACCCAAAAATCCAGAAAATAAAAATTACATCAAGAATCCAGCACAAAAACATAAGACATCCTCCTCCCTATATACATCCCACCATCCATCCGACTCTTCTCATTCCTCCACTTTCCCAGACATCCATCCACTCACATCCACTCACCATCTTTCCTTCCATCCATAACCTACCAACCCACCAACCTGCGCCAAACCTCAGCCGCACCACCTCACCTCACCTCACCTCATTCCTCAACCCGCCAAGAAAACCCACTCACCTCCCAAGCCGGCTCAAGGCACACATCACTCTCGTGACATTCCCTTTTCGTATCAAGTACTATCAACCAATCCAACCCAACCCTCAAAATCACAATTCCTGAAGCCTGCCTAGCTACATATCCCCATAACATCGCATCACATCATATCATAAGCCAGAGAATAAAAAAGTGGGAATTCCCCAGCCTCACAAGTTACGACCCTTGGAAATTCTTGGCTTGACGTCGTGATCGCCGGAGGTATATACCTGCTACGCCGACCCTGTCAATACTTTAAACAGGCTCGCAAGATCGTTTTTTCTTAAACAAATACAACAAGACAATGAGATAATTATTTGCACTTGCAGTTCGTTTTCTGTCCCTACACAAGTTTTAAAAGAACAATCCAAATACACTCATTCACTCCTCAAAAACCTCAACATATCCATCACATCACCCCATACATACCTAGGTAGCCTTTCAAACAAAACAAAATCCATAGAACCATTCGGTATTTATATTTATAATTACTTAAGAATATGCTATACACAGAATGATGAACCCGAACGATCCACCATCCCCCTTTGTAACAACTCCCACCCCATTTTCCTTTCAAGATCGCCCATTCCTCCCATTTCTATCACTAAATTGCCATGCAGACGATAATATTTCCCATTCATTTTAAGGTATTTGTTCTTTCCTCAAAGCTAGAAGTCGTCCAAATGAATTTAGATTCCAGTTCGAATAAAACAGCCAATCTCTTTTGACATCGAGATAGAGTGAGAAACTTTTCCCTTAGCCGGCAGCGAGCGACGACGATAAAAAAAACTCCTTGTAAATGCTTGAAATAAAAACTCCCTATTTGCTCGCTTCTGTATATGAAAGACTGTGCTGCAGCGCTGTATCAGATTATGTTTCAACTTTACTGATTTTGAGGATCGAGATAGCTGTCGAGTTTATGACTCTTGTTGCTTATTGCCCTATTCATGAATACATTCATTAGGCCCCGATCCTCACATATCCCTGCACGTGGTTTTGATTCTCAATACCCTCCATTACATTTCCTCTCGGATTACCACCAGCATTGACACCTTGCATATTAATCCCTCCATTTGCCAATCGGAAATTTGTCGTATTAGACATTGGTGCTTCAGGTGCACGTTGGACACCTGCATTAACGTCTGTCATATCGACAAAAGTATCATCTTCCTCCATATCTGCATCACCATCTGCATCTTGATCGCTTCCAATATCTTGCGCCTCCTCTTGCAGTGGTTGGCTTGTTATGGTAGAATTAAGTTGTGGTGGATTCGATGGAGGCAACGCTTCATTAATATTATTCTCAAGTGGCTTTTGTGCAGCCATGCCAGATCCAGACTGTCCAGACCCAGCTCGAGCTTGCTTGACAACACCTTTCCAACGACCAATTGCTCGTTCCACTGCCGCATCGAGATGTACACTTCGATCCATGAGTTGAAGACCAACAGCTTTGTGTGTCGTTCCCAATTTACCCAATTCAGTCATAAGACGTGAATCAATAGGTAGTGGTGAAGGTGGTTGAATCTTGAATTCCCTAGGTTGTTGTAATCGACTTAATTCCTCAACTTGTAATTTTGAGTGCGCAGTATCCTGTTGTAAAAGTTCCTTCTCCTTCTTCAACTTGGATATTTCCTCAGACTTTCGACCAATATTACGAGCTAATTCGAGAGTCCATAGTTCTGTCCTTTTATTTGGAGGTAACGAATTCCAATGCCCAAACATTGAATGTAAGTGCTCAGAAATTCTAGCCTCCATGCTTTGAGCATCTGCTTCTGCTTGTTGGTGTAGTGCAGCGAGACTCTCGAGACCATTGAAGTTTTCCTGCGGAGGATATGATAAATCATCTTGTGGAGTTGTGGTAGCGATGGATATTGAGATACGGTAGCGGTGAAACTCCGATGCAAAATGTTTTCGTAATGCTTGATATTGTAATTCATCTGGTGGAAGGATAGACCATGAAGTAGAGTTTGGAATAGGAGTAGACGCATAAAGGGTCGGTGGTGGTGGCAGACAATGTAAGGTAAGGGCAGGAAAATCCAAACTAAAAGGATCGTAATCAAAAATATTGGGGCCTTCAATTCGTTGTCTGTAAGATTTTGAGTTAGAATTGAACCTGGATTGTATAGTTGGGAAAAACTTACTTGGCCGCTCTAACCCCCCCTAAAAGTTCTCTCAATGCCAATTCTGCCGCTTTTGCATTATCCAGAGCTTCCATCATCTTTTGTTTTTGCTCGAACGTCGTTTTCGCTAGCATTTGTTTGCTGACAGATCTATTTCTGCCATCCGATCTCCTACTTCCATCTCTAGATTCATCTCCATCCCAACTTCGAGCGGGTTCGCCATTTCGTGCTTGAGGAATATGATTCATGACGCCTGTTGACTCCCATGTACCGCCATTCACAACAAAATTAGGTCTTCGACTACCCAAAGTTTGACCTGGCACCCCCCTTGACATGCACATCATATTTATAGCCGCTCCATCATCTCTTCTTAAGCTGGGAGAGTCACTCCCTACCATATCGGAATCATTATTGGAATTCCCCCTTTCCGATCCTCCAGGTGTCCCTGCAGGTGTCGAATCTTCCCTCCTTGAAGTTGAATTACGTGGCTGCCGCCTGGTAATGCCTCCACGAAGCTTCCTTATCTCATCCACACTGTGTATACCATCTGCCGCTTTGGGATTCTTCTCCTTTATGTAAAGATCGAGATGGCGGCCAAGTGAGGATGAAGTAAATGCTTGATGACAGAATGGACAATTCTTATCCTTTGGTGCGGAATTCTTGCCACCATTCACTGAAAGATCAGCACTGGAATTGGGGGTACCCATTTGTTCGGCCATATCAACAATCGTTGCGCGCTGTACTTGGATACAGTAGGAATTTGCTATCGAATTGGTACATGTATATATCTTCTTGTTTACTCCAGACCTCCTCTTTGTTTAAGTGCAAACGCAAGTAATTTCAGAATAATATAAACCCCCAAATAACAAATACTCCCGCGAAGAAAGTAGAAAATAGAAAAAGAGGTGAAGGTAAAGGTAAAGATTGTAACGGTCAAAAGAAGGAGCAGTGGAAATAGAATCTAAGGGGTTTGCAGCTTTGAATTTGTTCCTTCTTGGGGATTAGAGAATATTTCGCTAACAGGGATTAATCGACGACCCATTCCGGAACCCGATAGTTTAATTCTTGGTGCTCCGCAAATCATTGACAATTGGACAGTCAGATCATTGTGAGGGAGAAGGGATCAAGGGAGAATTGTGGATGATGAATTGAACGTAGAGGAAATGAGAATTCTATTTAAAGAGAAGGGAAGGAAAGGAAAAGGAAAGCTTTGATTGATATGATACTTGGAACATACAGTATGGATTAGTTTCAAAATAAGATCAAGATCGATACACGCCTTTTTTTCCACATAGGGACTATTTGGTGAAGATGTCAAACAAGAGTTCAATTGATCCCCTGGTTGGATAGCTATGGAGTTGCAATCATCCAATAGATTGATTATCCAATGTAATCGGTATCTGAATGGAAGTTCCCATTGGCGTTACATTTACTCATTTAGATTCGTTGAAAGCACAGCAAACACAGCATCAAATTAATCAATCATGAAGCAAACATTTTATCATCAACAACAACATTTGTATCGTTAACTCTATGCTCATTTATGTGAAGACATCAATCATAAACTATTCCTTGAAAACGCCCAAAAGTAAATGCCACTCTTTGCCCACCCACCGATGATGCTCATGAAACCTGTGAGATATGGATATCTAAGAATCATTTGGTATACCGAGAAAATGCCACCAGTAGAAATGCCACGAACCCCGACGGAGAAATCATTGCAACAATGGATCCTAAATAATGTTGTTAGTGGAGTCATTTTCAAAAACGGTTGATGACAACTTACTCTGAAGTGTTTTTGTGAGTTGTTCTGCTTATTGTTTCTCCAGTCAAATTTACGGCGTTCGTAGTTCTCCACCTTTCTGGATCTTTTCTCCGCCGCCTTGACTTCTCTTCTCTTCTCAGCGGTGACACCAGCCATACCTAGACCTCCATTTGCACGGCTCATAAGTGCTCTTCCACGTTCTCTCTCATTGCGTCGAACAACACGTTCATCTTGCTCTACATCAGAATCGGAATTTTCAGCTGCCTCAATTGCACGTCGTTGTCTCTCTTCTGGTGATGGATGATTGACCAAATTTTGACGGTAATATTTTTGTAATGATCGATGTCCAGCGGTACGACCAGAAGGTAAATGAAGCTCATAATCAGCATAAAATGCTGCATGATTGTGTTTATGAGCATGTGAGTGCCATCCATCCTTGTTGTGGTGTGATCGAGGATCGGTGTGGGAGTGATGAGGATGTTGATGGAGTTTCTCATACTGGTGCGTTCTCTCATCAAGTGGAACTGCGGTAAGATCTGCGGAATCCAAGGAAGACTCAGAACTGTCGGTTTCCCATCCATCACCATTCTCCATTTCTTCGTCTCCTTCAGCATCAATTGTCGTTGGACGTTTAGCTCCAAGTTTAACGCCACCACTGTTCTGTTTTCCTGGTAATGCATCTTCCGAATCCGATTCTTCCTCGTCATCAGAGTATGTGCTTCGGAAGTCATAGTAGTCGCCAATCTCGATTTGTTCGTCCTCAGTGGCGTAACGAATTCTGCAATGGCGCTTATCTCTCATGTGAGTTTGGAGTCCAAAAATCGATTGCTTAAGTTTGCCACATCCTAAACATTCATGGTCTTCGTAAATTTTCTCGTGAAGGAAAGCGATTAAACCTTCGAGGTCAACTAGGTATTCCTTCTCCGGAATAAACATGCCATGTATACGTTCCATATGCGCAGCATTAGCAGCTGTGTCGGCCGAATCTTCATTACAGAATAAGCATCGACTTGTAGAAACCTCCACCAACTCATCTTCATCGTCCTCCATGTCGTTATCCTCAGTAGGTGTAACCGTAGAGCCTCCAGCATCTTCAAGGTTGGTCTTCTTGATGCCCTTAGAAACTTCTTCGACTTGCGCATCCGTATCTTCACCCGCTGCTCCATTTGTTTTGATAGGTTCTCCCAATGAAAATGTTGAGCTCATTACTGAGCTTGCGTCGTCCATGTGTCCATCACTAGCCATCGCTGCCTTTGCCTTATGTTTCTGACTGCTAAGATGGTTGTGGTAGGCATTTTCACTGAAATATGTTTTAGTACAGATCGTACAAGACTTTTCGTATGCGGCCTTTGAAGCTGCTGCTGTGGAAGAAGCCTGTGCCTGCAAGACTTTCTCGGTGAAAACTTCGGAAGAAATGGGTGGTAAAGATGTAACGCGGCGCTTCAAGTTGTATCGACTGTAGGAAATTGTCAGTAGGTTGGAATCAAAGAGAATAAATAAACATACTGCCAATCACTGCGCATATGTCCTCGTTGCAAGTCGCTATTTCTGAACGCCACTTGACATGTATTGCAAGTATAAGGATGGGAAGCATTCGTATCTGCTTGGACTGAAGGACCAGGAGCAGGACCTCTGCTTGCTGTGATGGAAGCCATTTTTGATGTTCAAGCGTACAGTGTCAAACAAACAAATGAACAAGCAAATGGTTATTTGAGGTAGAAGTGTTTGGAGGGGAAAGCAGTGGTATCTTTCTTTCTTTCTTATAATTGATAATTGATAGGCGTTAAAAATCGTTTTTGCCGAAAGCCCCGAAGAATTAGCCCTGGATAGTACTTGGATACCTATGAGTCAATCCAATGATTTTCCTTTTCAGTGTGAATTTGAGTTGTTTCTCTGGAGTTTTCACAGGAAGAAGAGTATTTAAAGAGAGTAAAGTTGGTAATGATTTATGATCCAAAAAAGAGTCATCTACTAGGTATTTTTTTTTAATGCAATCTCCTATGAAAATTTACATCTGAAAATCTGTAGTGGGGTTGTGTTATCTTTTCTTCCTTTGCCTCACTCAAATGCGATCAGATTGATTGATTGATTGCTGATATGAGTGATAATGATTGCCCAGTGCGTCATCTCACCCAGGCCAGGCCAGGTATGTGTTAGGTACAAGAATACAATAATGCTAGCCTCGGGCAACACGCCTTCCCTGGCCTTGCTTACTTCACGTTGTACTGTACATTTGTCAAATCGACTGAACCACCATTGAAACGACTGACTAATAATAGAACAACCTAATATTCACATTATTCACATTATTCATAATCTTGTTTGTTTCAACAGTGATATCCATACTCCACTGATTTCCTTCAACATAAAACATTCCTCTACACTCGTTCCCAATGTCATGACTCGAGATACATCAAGAGTTCGGGAGGAACGAAGTTTCGACGGCGATGATGATATCCTTTCAGCCCTATGGGCCGCTGCTCCTTTTCCATACCTCCCTCAAGATGCGCCAGACGAGTTGAAGAAGCTTACGGTAGAGGTTGAGGATCCAAAGCAAATATACGTCATACACAATGCAAGCAGGCGTCATCTCTTTCATTTAATGGTAGAAAAGTATGTTTGTTTGCTTGTGCTTCGTCAAAAGAATTGAGGCTGATTGGATATTTCCGTAGGTACATCCGTCAACTTCGATATGGTTGCGATTCCTCTATTTGTCATACCCCAACCTGTTTTACTTGTCGCAAACGTCTTGCCTTGATCTCTGGCCGCCCAATAAGGCCATATAATTCGACGAGCGCGAGAATTCTCGCTGTTCACTTAGCTAGTCAGGACAACCCTGAACGAGGTCTCTGTCACAATCCTCTCGTAGATTCACCTATCCAATTCAGCAAGCATGTTAAGGCTACTGCGCGAAGAAACCTATCCGGATCTAAGAAATTACAAATTAGTGGAGGGGATACTTTGCATATGAACACACTCGGTACAGACAATGAGAGGAACGGGTCGGATCGATTACGAACCCTCATAACCAGTATTGGCGATCCAACTGAGACTAGGGAATCGAAACCCACCATACTGAATGACTATACCAAGATCGACCATAAATCTTTCATTCAAAATGTATTTGGCACGGCAGCTTTCAAGATGGTAGAATGGCTGACACCGAGGAATCTGGCAGCACTAACAAGACAGGATGGCACAGTCTCAGATTTGGATGCACGTTCCTTACCGCTGGCTCAGTCGACACCAAGTGATGGTGTGAACACTCCTGCGCAGAAGCTAGAAGGTTCGAGTGGGACAGCGACAGAGTCGTCAAATGCTACAAAGTTCTCGCCAACCTCTTCAGAAGCCCCAACAGAAGTTTCTGGGTATTCAAGCCAGTGGGATAAAAATGAAAGTTCTAGTGGCAAAGATGTCCCAGATACAAGTACAAGGATAGGGGTGGGCTCAAAGTCGCCTCCTAATATACCTAGCGACATCAAGCCTAGCATCCAATCGAGCCCAAATGCGTTGCATACCGAAACTACACATATCTCAAGTCCGAGGTCTCGAAGGAGGACAGACTCTTATGATGCCCATGTTTCCAAAGGTGTCTTGAACCTTTCGACTTCACCAAGGGCGATTGACACTGACACTACTTCGCCTTTGCCTCGCCATTCTATGCGCTCGAAACCTAAACCTACTCGGCATACTATGATAGCTAATCCAGTTCTCCATCTACCTGAAACCGACATTTCTTCGCCTACAGCACCCCTTACCAGTGCCACAGTCGAACCTTCTGTTTCAGCCGAGCCTGCGACGAATTCCAAATTCGATTCAAATGCTAACAACGCAATCGAAAACCCCTCGATTGAAAGGCATGATTTAGAGCCATCTTTACCTGATGAAAAGCTACCACAAACACTTTCATCACTACCTCTTGAAGTGATTAATCTGATTTGTGATATTCTGGAAGATGACAAGACTTGCGATAAGCATTCATTACATCCTGATCAAATCGACGATGATTTGAAGAGACATCAAACACGCATGATTCCTTTGCGCCGAAAATCAAAATCGGCGATTCGTTATCCAAAATCAACTAAAAAACAATGGCGTCGCTTCATTGATCAGTGTTTGTATTCTGTCCTTAGTAAGCCCAGTTCTCTCATAAAGTCTTTCACCACCCAAGATGGGCAGGTCTTCGATACACAGACTATTTGGTACTGTATGCTACGTATGACTAGAGTTGCGCCGTCTATTGTCTTTGATAGCCTATGGATTGCCGCCGGCACACTTTTCAAGCCTCCACAGGAATTAGAATGGGCCAAACAGTATCATAATGATAGCTTGGGTCCAGATCAATCAATCTCAAAAGCCGATGCAGCTCAAATAATAAACATTTGCTTTCATGCACTCGTAGCTGCGGCACCACTGTTGAAGGATTCAAGACAACTAGCAAATATGTCTCGTATACGTTCGTATGGCATTACTTTGCCTGGGAGGGAATCGTTCTCAATGGAATCAACCAAACTATGTCTACAATATGACGATGCGTTCTCGGATGAACTGGCATTGAGACTGGCTCGTCGAATCTTCTCTGCTGTTTCCACAAGACGTAGGTTTTCTGAACTGATCCGGCTCCAACAAGATACCAGAGGCGACGAAAATGAACAAGACGGTGTTTTAGAAATTATCCTCGGCACTCTGAAATATCTCGATCTTGATACACCACCTATACTCAATTTCACAGCTCCAGAACAAGATTTGCACGAGAAGAGAATTCCTACCTTAATACTCGATTGGGCACGAACAGTAATGATACAAGATTGGAATGGTAAAGGGGAAGTTCCCTCAGATGGGTCGTTTGGAGGTGCTTTAGAGACTATTGCGGCAATATACAGGAACAGGAAATCGCTTTTACTGGGAGACATACATTTTCGTACAGAATACTTTTCCGAACGGCTAGATAGTGTCGCCATGCCTCTTGAGTGGTTGTCTTTCCAGTCAAATAAACGTACCGTTCATTTGCTCGACTATCCATATTTATTCAATCCATCAACATTAGTCAATTACTTTCGAGCCATCAATTACTCGCGGATGAATCAATCCTACGAAGAAGCAAAGTCTTTAACTACACTTGTTCGTACTCACGAGGGACTGATCTCCAATGAAGACTACCGAAATAGACTTCGAGATCGTCTTCAAACAGCGACATCAAGATTCCTGGCCATTGAGGTTAGCCGAGATAATTTACTTTCAGACGCTTTTGATGTGCTATGGCGAAGAGAAGGACGTGAATTGATGCGACCTTTGAAAGTGTCATTTGGCGGTGAGCATGGGGAGGAAGGTTTGGATTATGGTGGAGTTCAGCAAGAGTTCTTTCGAATAGCCATGACAGAAGCTATCAACCCTGATTATGGTGTTTTTACGATTGATAATAAAACAAAAATGACATGGTTTCAGCCAGGATCACCAGAGCCGTTATGGAAATTCGAGCTTATTGGAATGATCATATCTTTGGCTGTTTACAACGGTATGACTCTACCGATTACCTTTCCCAAGGCATTCTACAGGAAGTTACAAGGAGAAAGCATTACGGAACTTCACCACATTTCAGATGGATGGCCCGAGCTCGCTAAGGGTCTAACAGATCTGCTAGAATGGGACGAAAGTAAAGGGGCCGTGGAAGAGATTTTCTGTCGAACATACGAATTTAGTCACTTTCAATTCGGAAAGTTAATAAGCCGTGAAATGACTAGCTCAGCTCAATGGCCAAAGTTCTCAGATGTCAACGTTGGCGAAGATTTTGAGGATTTCGATTCAACAGATGTACCACTGGTCACGAACGAAAATCGAAATAGTTATGTTAGTGATTATATCAATTGGCTAACAAATGTATCCATTCAACCACAATTCGAAGCTTTCAAAAAAGGGTTCTTCGCCTGTCTTGATCCTCGCTCTCTCAACCTTTTCGACGTCGATACTCTTCAATCTCTAGTCGAAGGTGTACAAGAAATTGATATCATTGAAATGCAACGTGGTGCCAGATATACTGGCTACGAGCCTACCGATCGCGTCATTCAAGATTTCTGGTCGGTCGTCAAAGAATATGATTTGGAGAAGAAAAAAAAGCTACTTGAATTCACGACATCGTCTGATAGGGTTCCTATGGGTGGAATGAAGAATTTCCAACTTACAATTCATAGGAATGGAGCGGGTACTCAATTACCAACTACGTCAACGTGCTTTCAAATCTTGATGTTGCCGAATTATGCAAGTAGAGAGATTCTGAAAGAGAGGTTTGATGTAGCTTTGGAACATAGTAGTGGGTTTGGTAATCATTAGGAGAAGAGGATGATGGGTGGAGAGAGGGGGTTGTTGATCACTTTTGTTGGTGATTGATACGGGGTTTTGCATGTTGATTTGAGCGCACGGTATGGCATCCATGACTTCTTGAAGTTGAGAATAGTAAACTAGCGATGGAAATGATAATGAGTGTTTAAATACCTTCTTGTATTGTATTGGATAGCGAATCGAATGGAATGGTGGCGTTTCTTTGGCTTGATCTTTCAATCTCTCTCTGCATGGGAAAGTGATAGCATATAGCAAGCATATCAAGCATAGAATAGCGTAGCGTTTGAGGAGAAATACGAAAGGTCATGATGTATGTGTATGAGTCTATCGATTTATTGAAATATTGAATTGAGTTGAATTGGAATGGGACAGAATAGAATGAAATGAGGAAACTCGTAACATAAACTCTTGATTCTTCGGTTCACGGCCCGCACTTCCCGCACTTTGTTCTTGGCAACTTTAAGAGGAGAGAAGAGGGGTTGGAGATTTGTTGGCTGGGCGCTTTTCTGCGTGTGGGATTTGGAATTGTTAGATGGATTTGGAATAATGGATTTGTATGTGTATCTGTTTACCGTTGTATTGATTTTTTATTTTTTATTTTCAATTTTTCAATTCCAAATACCTGGGTGGATGGATAGGTGATGGTCGGGTAGGTATTGGATCACAATACTGACTTGAAAAGAGGCTTGAGATGACAGGTAATGGTGTGAGTGGTGTAGATATTGGTGTAGTGGTGTAGATAGTGTAGTAGTAGTGTAGATAGTGGTGTATGTGATGTAGTGGTGTATATGATGTGTGTGGTGTAGGTAGTGTGCATGTTGTTGTGTTTATGTTGTATTGTACAGTGTTGTATTGTGTTGTACTATTTTACTTAATCCGTTTAAAGACACAGAAGGAATGTTGGGTATTTAATAATTGTAATGCAATGTAGAGAGCTATTAGGTATGTGCGCGCATGGTTTGTAAAAAGTTGATAGATGGTGGAGTTAAGAAGTTAATGAATATAGTGCTTGAGATGTACTGTAGGGAACTCAGTCGAAGATACTTCGTAGCATTTCGTATTCATGTAGTGTGAAGTGTGTAGTCAGGCAGGGGGGTTCGATATATCACTCGTGGGTACTGGAGAATGAAATTCACGCTCGATTATATGGGATGTAATTGTGTGCTGAGTGATTCAAGAGGTTTACCTGTCTAATCTGGAGGGTCATAGTTTGTGTGTTGAACTAAAGAGATTTAATTATTCGATGATATAGGCAGGCTCATGAGTAGATTGATATATGCAAAGCACAAAAAGTTGATAAAAGCAAAGGTATATTGCAACATATTCAAAGCAGTAAACCTAAATACAAAGGTATAGTACTAACTAAATCAGCATCGATCCACCACAAGCGAGCGGGACTGTCACAATTCTTCATTGTTGACTTGGAAGAGAACTATCGAATTGCACCAAGTGCGTAAATCTTGAAAATATCTTCCAAATCGACAAACTTGATCCAACCATGCTCTGCTCGACCAAAAATTCCAAAAGAGTGAGAAAAATTAAGCATCTTGAATATTAACCACCTCACCATACGCATCCAAACCCAATCTCTTCTTCGCAATCGATGTCTTGACAGGATTGGGACTGTTGAAAATCTCATCCAACTCCTCCAAGGTACGATTTCTGGTCTCTGGGATAAAGAACCACACAACAGTCGATTGAACCGCACACCAAATGGTAAAGATGATGTAGGTTTTCCAGCCGATCTTTTGCATGGAGACGGGCCATGCGAATTGGTTGAGGAGACCGGCGGCTGCGACGGCGAAACCGGAGAATCCCATACCCTTGGCGCGCATTTCGAAGGAGAGGACTTCGACGGGGTAGAGGGCTTGGAGAGGTGTGAAACCGACGGAGTAGACGGCACCGAAGATGAAGATGAAAGCGAGGGAGGCGGTACCGGCTGCGTGGTTGGTGCCGACGGATTTGGGGTTTGAGGGGTCCGGAATGGATTCTTGGTAGAGGGCAGCGGAAACGGTCATGGCGAGCCAGACTACACAACAGCCTGTGTGGGTATTGATGTTAGTAGAGGTTTCTTCGATAGTGTATTGGGGAGGATTATTTACCAATGTTAGAGAAGAGGAGAAGAGGACGACGACCAATACGATCAACCATTGCGGCACCGAAGAGAGCCCAGCAGAATTGTTGACAATTGTTGATTAGAATGACGTTTGCTTGGCCGATAGCACTGTCAATACCGATGGTCTCAAGAACTTTGCCCATGAAATATGACAAGACGGCTGACTTTTATTAGCTAGACTGTTTTTGGGCAGAGAATTGCAGAATACATACCATTTCCGGCCCATTGACCAAAGATCGTGATACTGACGTTACAGAAGAGACGATAGCAAGTCGATTTGTTCTTGAAAAGCGCTCTGTAATCCCACCAACGCTTGTCGGCACCGTCCATTTCCAAAAGTTCTTCGTATTCGTTGAGTTGCAATTTGACCCATACACTGTCTGTATTTCCTTCTCCGTGGTATTTGGTAAGCATCTTCTTGGCTTGATCGCGTTTGTTATTGACGTAGAGCCATCTTGGGGATTCGGGAAGGAAGTAAGCGGAAATGAAGATGATACTGGAGAACATCAATTGGATCCAAATGATCAGTCTCCATGATTCGTCGCCTCCAATGTTGCTTGCTCCACGAGCTACTCCACTAGCAATAATTGATCCAGTGAACCTAAATCTGATTAGACAAGTATTGACAAAAGCTTCATACTAAACTTACCAAAAGCAATTGAAGATAGCTGTAACTACACCACGGTATGCTGGGTGAGAAACCTCAACAACATACATGGGACCAGCGGCGGAAGCGATGTTGACACCGAAACCAAGCAAGAAACGACCACCCATGAACTGTCTTACACCTGCTTCTCTGGTTGCAACTCCTTGAATGATCGTACCGAGAATAATGCAGAGACATCCGAGCCACATTCCAAATCTTCGTCCGAAAGTATCGGCTGCGGGTCCAACGAATGGTAATGAAACTACACCACCAATTTGGTACATGGAAGTAACGATACCGGCCCAGATTCCAGCATTTTCACCGTGGTAGAATTCGAGAAACCAAGGGTTGACAAGTAGATTGTTGATAAGCGATCCATCGTAACCGTTCATGGTAGCACAGAAAAATCCGATAAAACAAGCAGTGTAGAGTTGGATTGTCGACCAAGTAAAAGCCTTGGGGGGCTCCTTGAGCATGGCCTCGTTGAATGTCTCATTTCCAAGAACGACTTTGACTCCAACTTCGGCATGTTTCTGTAAATTCAATTATGGTTAGAATTAATCTGTGAGGAAATTGAATTGGAAATTCTCAATCATACCTCATCGTCACTTCGAGGGTGAGCGAGCTCGGCCTCCTCGTACTGAGTATTTGTCTTCTCCGCCATGTCTTCCAATTTTCTGTCAAACAAGAAATGACTCTGACAATTGAAAAGGATCTATTGATCTGAGAGAGGGATGGGGTTCCAAAATCAACGGAATATGCTTCACTTATGTATTGCAACGATGGCAATCTTGAACCCTGTCAATGGGAGGCTGGCCTTGTCCCTTCGTACAGCCATAACAAGCATACTCTCAACAGCGGAGCGCTAAATAATCTTTGGAACCAATCTATACTCCAACCCCGGATTTTCGGGCAGGCATTCCTGGTGTGCTTTTCTTTTCCAATAAAAAGATGCCATACAACTTTGTGGGGTCCGGGGTCGTACATTATGCAAGTATACTTTTCACAGCATTCACAAAGACTTCGGATCCTTGATCCTTTCGTTTGCACGTATGATTCTCATCCCATTATCGGCTGGCCGTGAGGAGGCAAAAAAATCTCAACCCTTGAGAAATATCAGAACTGCTGATTCGAAGAGGTGTTTCCCAGTACAGAAGTCATTTGCGGAGTAACTACCCCGTGTTCCAGAAAAGGAATAAGCTGACAACGCCTGACATGGCAATCGAGCTGATTTTTTGGCGAGATTGGCCTTTTGGTATCCGCTTGTCACCTGTATACCAAGCAATGCTTAATACACTTTTCCACGAATGAATATCCCATCCCACGACAAGGGATTAAAAGTTTCAAATAGAATAATCACGCTTCTGGTTAAAACGGGTTCCTGATGGAGGTCTGTGATAGATCATTATTCGGTCCAGCTCTCTGCTTTTCCTCGTCTGTCTTCTTTGGGGTTTCGTCTGTATTTCGGTGGCGTCGAAACGATGGGGGGGGTTTTTGGAGCGTTGTAGTGTCAGTTTGTATAATGAGACATTGGGTGATATTTTAGACTAGGAAAGTGTTAACATAGCGTGATATCACGTGAATGTCATGAGTTGTGCTTTTGTGTGAGTTGTGTCTGCATCTCGTGAGGTCGACCAATCATTGGTAAGATTGATGGTCTATTGCCGTCTACTAGTGCTAGTCTGGGGAAACTTTGTTTTTGAGAGATAGGAGGGATTGCCTCGACTCGTAGTAAGTACTTTAGTTTGTAAGGCAATGCATGCTACATGCGCAACATGCTTCTAGAATTTACCACCATTAAAACTACTTCAATACCTCAATCGACAACTCAACAACATTTTGATACTATTTCTTCCTTTGACAAATAAACTGCCTTCTCAATCCCAACAATACCGCTCCAGCAAACGACAACATTCATTACAGATCCCCAACGAACACGCTATCTGCGGCGCAGCCGGTGCACCTCTCATCTTGGCCGCAAAGCCTAATCTCGATTCAAAGTCCCATCCCGACATGCACATCTTTGCATCCATCCAATTTCAAACCAATGTATCCTCCGTCCCAAGCAAATTTTTCAAAATGAGGAAACCATATTCTCGGGATTTTGTGCTTGTCGATAATCCAGACTGAGAGCTTGGGAAACCGAACATGGTTAAGATTTCTCATCACAAGCTCCGTCGACGATTTCGTATTAGATAAAAATACCCGTCTTCGCCGCATTTGCAATTTTGCCTCCCAACAATTAGATCAGTTGCTGAGGCTTTGAACTTTGATATACACATTTGATTTCTTTTTCCAGGGTAGATTCTCCGTACGCACGTACAAATGTCAAATTATCAAAGTGATGGGGATTTGGGGATTTGGGGTCTCCAGATTTCAATGGATGGATGGATGGATCAGCCGACTAGGTTCGGAATCCTTTGCCGTTATTACTCGAGTTTTTAACCTTACTATCCACAAGCCTGCAGTAGGACAGATTCCAGATCCTACTCTGTACTCTGGATTGGTACAGCCGAGGCATGTGGACTGGGATAGCTACATATTCACGAGATATTCTAGCTGCAAAGTATTGTGAAAGAAGAGAACGAACATACATGTGTCTAAGAGAGAGTTATTACGAGAGAGGTCTGATTGGATTATGTTGAAATCTGAACAAATCTGGACATGACTATTTACTCAGATTACATCAAACTCTAGATATGAAGGTCATTCTTAGTCTAATCGTCGCTTTTTCGATAAACAAACGAGGAGACCTTGAATGTATGAAGGCTGGTAAGTGAAGAATGATATAGGTAAGTGCTTGATGATATTTGGAATCTAACGTTTGAAGGAGAAGAATCTATGTTCAGATAGCTAATCCAGCTAATATGATCTAAAGTTTAGCTAATCCCTCTCACACAATCCATATTCGAACCACTACCTATTCTATCAGTGCAAAACGGAACATCGAACATCACCACATCACCACATCACCACAAATACCTAGCATCAACCACATACAACAGACTCCTCAGATATACTCCTATTCTGTCACTTTACCTCGACGAAAGGCCCATCCAATCTCGACATCTAATCCCCAATCTCAACCCGAGTGCACCATTCCAAAGCCAAAGTCAAACCCAAACAACATATGAAGACCAATACAAACACAAGCCATCAAACATCACAATTTCACCTCCATCGATAATCAGCCATTAATCGCCATAGCTATCCAGCCACCTAGAGTGGTCAGCATATCCACCTGCAGAATGTATCAAAGTAGCGATGAGCGTATCTTAACTTTATATCGTCTCCTATTTATCGAGTCCTTGATACGATTTCCTTCTGGATTCCGAATCCTAAATTCCAAACACAAGCATACAAACATGCATTCTATACCTACCAAACACACAGCACACTTTATTCAAAATGCAAACTAATACCGATATCGATATATCCATCCTCCTTACTTATCATCTCGAACTTGGACTGATTTACTTCATACATCCAACTCATACTAAACATTCTATACATCCGGTTCAACTCGTCAGATTTCCCGTTCCCCATACCCAAACCCTAATATCTAACTCTCAGTTTACAATTTCCAGTTCCCATTCACCGATCCGCACTTCCCAATCCCTCCATTCTAAACCCCCTATTAGCAAAACTATTTATCCCACCAAATCTTTACAATTTTTGCAATCTTCGCAATCAGCCAGGAAATTTTATAGATACATAAATACATACATACATACATACATACATAAAGTGGTCTATAAACTACCTTTTATCTTTTTCTTTCCACCTCAAAACAAATTAATCTAATCTACTCTACTCTACTCTAAACCATTCATTTATCCATATTTCTCCTTTCGTCTCCTCTCCTCTACTTCAATCGACTCAAATCCATTTATCCACCTTTCCATCCACCTTTCTCCTCTCCTCTCCTCTCATCCCATCTCATATATGTCCACCTCACATATACACATATACCCATCTAATCCATCTAATCCATCTAATCCATCTAATCCATCTAACCCATCCACCCATCCCTCCATAACAAATCCTCGCCAAATAAAAACAAACCCTCTTTAAATAAAAATGAATTCCCACACCGTTCTACTTATCTACCTACCCATCCACCCATCCACCTACTCATCCTTTCATCCACTACAATCAACTCAACTCCTACACCTCTCCCCTCCCCTCCCCTTCAACTCCTCTTCTTTTCAACTCCTCGCCCATTCTCAAACCCATTCCTCACCATCACCACCACCACCCCTTAATAATAAAAACCCCAATCCAAGAATAAGATGAGATCTCCTCCCCCCTTCTCTTTCCATCTCTCTCTCTCTCTCCAAAAACAATCAAAAACAAAAACAAAAACACAATGAACACCAAAATCAGTCCATCTAAATATATATCTATCTCTATAATTATCTTGGAATCAATAATTATATAATCTAATCTACTCTAATCTACTCTAATCTACTCTAATCCAATCTTTCCTTTTCTTCCCCCTCCTTTCTTATACTCTTTCCTCTTTCTTATTCTATCCTATCCTATCCCATCCTATTTCTTTCTAATTCATCTCATTCCAACTGATTTAATACCATCCCATCCCATTTAATTATATCTATCCATTGTGCCACTAATATCCAAATACACTCTTCTCTTCTCTTATCTTCAATCCCTTCCCCCCTCTTCTCTCTCCTTTGACACCTCTTCTTCCTCCCCAGTAGTATCTACACATGAACCACATCACACCAACATCAAAACAATTAGGTATAACACAAACATAAACATAAACACAAACACGCAAAAGTACACAATAAACTTTTACTCTGGATATTCAATTAGCAATTACCAACTCTCAACTACCAACAACTGCCGACTGCGAACTTCCTCAATTTCTTTTAATATCATATTTGCATCCATCCTATTTCCTTCGTCCCATCCTTCCCCTCCCATACCATTCCTTTCATAGGAATCAATGCCTATACTATTGACTATTCAATGATTTATCGACCCGTCCGTCCGTCCATATGTTGTATATTGTCTCTCTGTGCACTTCTCCATAATTTCATTTGCCCACTTCCTTCAATCCTCACACTTCACATTTGATCTCTCTACTCTCCCAGTCAAAATCCACTCACATTAAATTTTTGAAAGCACCTCATCCATCCTCGAACTAATCCCTCATCTCCTTCCCAACATACACCCTAACAACCAAACTAATAAGCAGCATTTTGCCTACAAAAATCCGCCGGATTGGATGCACCCCCAGGCGGCGCACTAGGCGCACTAGGCGCATTAGCTAACCCCTGACTCGGTCCCTGATTGCTATCACTACTATCCGGTCTTTGGTACGCTTTATATTGCCCCTGGCTAGGCAACGTCGATCTCGCATCCCCTAACACCGGATGTGAGCTTCCTTGAACTGGGCTGGGCAATGAACCCGGGGGCGCTGGTGGTTCATAAGATGGCTGAGGAGGTTGCGATGGTTGTTGAGGAGGTTTGTAGGCATTATATTGTTGAGGAGGTTGAGAAGGGGCTGGTGTGGCTGTATATGGGTCTGTTTCGGCGTATGCAGTATATGGATGAGGATTTTGTTGTTGAACTGGAGAATCATAGACAGAAGTTGCAAGTTCTTGTGGGTTTGAATATGTACTTTGGGGACGGTGACCAGTTTGTGGTTGCTGGGTTGGATATTGAGTTGGAGGAGGACTGCTAGTTTCAAGTGGAGGTGGTTGCGAGCCTGATGGAATGCGAGGGGTAGGATCTCTTTGGGGGTATGGCTGTTGACTTTCTGCTTGTGGAGGTTGCTGGCCGGGATATGGTAGATAGCTCTCCGATTGTGGAGGCTGTTGGCTGGGATATGGTTGATGACTCTCTGCTTGTGGAGGTTGCTGGCCGGGATATGGTTGATAGCTCTCCGATTGTGGCGGCTGTTGGCCGGGATATGGTTGATGACTCTCTGCTTGTGGAGGTTGCTGGCCGGGATATGGTTGATGACTCTCTGCTTGTGGAGGTTGTTGACCTGGAGCTACAACGTAAAAAGGGGCCGGTCCATTACGTTGAGGAGGATAACCGTTAGATGGAGATGGTTGCGGCTGATATGGTGGTTCTGCAAAGTCTTAGTAGGTCAATATTGATTAATATTCAAGTTCACTCACCTGACTGAGATGGTGTATAATATCGCTGTGGCTCTTGTTGTGGTCTTGCGGCTTGAGGAGGGTACCCATAACCTTGTGGACCTTGAGGGACTTGCCCAGGTCGACCATACTGATAAGGTTGTGCCTGTGTCATAGAGGCATCAAGTAAGCTTTCATAATCACGACATGATTTAATGAATCTCTCATTGAGTTGTGTGAAATCGTCTGATGTATGTTAGTGAGCTGATCATGAGCCGTATTATTTGACGAATATTGAATTCCTACCTTTCCTCTGTGAGTACTTTCCAATAAGCTCAATAAGCTTCGGCCTAATTGCAAGAGTAGAATGGTAAAGTTTCTAAGTATGTCAGAAAGTGGCTGGAAAATGAGGATACCAAAAACCTACTGTAATTTCCTCATTATCACGGGCATCTAATTGAGATGATGAAGTACTCAATAATGTAAGTAGCTTCTCGACATTCTTGATTTCCGCAAAAACCTCGGCCTCCATTTGCGCTTCTCGTTGTAGTTCTTCTGGTGTGGGATCGACCAATTTCTCGACATAATTCAATGGGAAAATACCAGTCTTTCCTCGTAGGGAGCCCCTCCACCAATCCTTGTATACTGATCCTACGACTGTAATGATATCGCCCTTTCGAAATTGTAACTCATCTGCATCTGTAGGTTGGAAATTGTGAAGTGCTCTCACTCTTGAGACAGTAGCCGCGGTGGTCCCAGATGATACTTGTTGTGGCTGTGCAGCTTGTTGCGATTGTGCCGGACCTGCGGATGAATTGGATGGCTGTGCAGCTTTTGGCTGACTGCTTTTGTCTTGAATGGATAATTTTAATGCCATCTGCAATTCATCTTCTTCCTTCTGACGATCCAAATCCGTGAGTCGATTCTTTGATGGGGCGGAAGGCGGATGTAAGTTGGGATTCTGGCTCTTCAAGCGGTGGTACTGATCATTCATAATTCCCAAATCAGGGTCTTTAAACATTCCTGCCCATTCCGCCATTCGCTCCAGAATCTTTGCCTTGACTTGTTGATGTGTGTTTCTATCGTTCGCCAGTCTCAATAGTGCATCCGTGAATGCTCTCGAAGCCAACTCTCTGTGCATTTTCGCTCCGCAATTTTGACTCAAAGCATTGGCAAGCTATATAATGAATGTTAGATATGTTGAAAGTGATTCCCACTCACGCGATGACCAACCTCTAAAGTATATAATTGTACGTTGGCATTTCGATGCGCCAACCTCTTTATCATGCTCGCAACGGCATCTTTAGCACCACTATCTTCACCAGTTACTTTGTCGCAAACATCCATAATGTATTCCCAATTTTCCGAGGTAAGGTTCTCGTCGGTCGCCTTAGCTATAGCATCCATAAATTAGCATCGTGCTCAAGGCTTCATTCGAGACAACTGGGGATTCGAATGAAATCATAAGCTGTGACTTACCGACGACCTCGTCAAAGGCATTTTGTTGCGCGCGAAACATCGTTTACAAATTCCTATATTACTTAGATATTTCAAGAAATAAATGTCGTGGGGATTTTGTGGTTATGAAGGTGTAGGTGATAAGTAAGAGTTGTAGATGGTTTGCTCCTAGAAGACCGAGCCCCGCTAAATAGACAAGTGCTGCGGTAGCGTATCACGAGCATATCAACGTCACTGGAAGCTTTCCGACGCCGCACAAGGCACAAGGCATCGAACCAAAATACGATGTATTGGAGACTTCGATACTAAAAATAGAATTTGTGTATTTGACTTCAATTTTTGTATGATCCAAGGAAACAATATAATATTTGGGCTAAGTGAAAATTTGATGTAATAACATTGGGCCGGACATATCTAAATTCAACGTTCAACATACGACAGCTCATTGTTTGATCACAGTATGGATATACAGTTGCTCAACGTAAATATACATTCAAAGAATAGAGTATTCAAAGTTTTGGATCAGCATCCAAGTTCTGGATTATGAAGCCGGACCTAATCTACTTGCTTTCATAAAGGCAAGAGCTAATTTCTTGTTGTACATATAAACAATTGCATACTTACTCTCTGTAAGTGTAGCAGATTGTGACATAAAAAAAGGGGTTGAAGAATCCCATGTCAACGGAAACCGCAACAGACAACCAGGCGCTATGCTTCCAATCAATTAGTTTCCTTCCCAATACCACAATCATCCATCCAGATATGAAACAACGCCTATACTCCATCGTTATATGCATAAAACGAGACCCCCGAGATAATCTTTGCTACAACAAGAGAGGTTACTTATGCTACCACATCTCACCGTCATCGGCTGCTTGATCATGTGATTGTGTTCGTCCATAATCGTAGTACTTCTGATTTTGATCATTATAGCCGTTCTCACTATTGTTTTGGCCGGTGCGAGATTGTGGACGATTATGGTCCTGCTCGGACTCGCCTCCTTGATGATCGTAATCATATATTTGAGAGTCGTCAACATAATTAACAGCTTCACCAGAATGGTTGGGATTTTGGGATTGTTCAGCATATTGAGTGATGCCCTATAAAGTGTTAGCTCAAGATATTTTCAAGTTTCTGAAATTGATGAAATCATACCTGGTGGTAATCGTATCGATATTGGTCACCCTCTGGTTGTTGCTGCTGCTGCTGTTGTTGTCTCAACTGTTCTTGTTGCTCTAGGTATCTTTGTTCTTGCTCCTTCTGCTTTCTCTCTGCCTCTGCCTTCTTCTGTTGCACAGATTGAGGTACTTGCATATGTGGATGCATTTGTTGAACCTTGGCCAAGTACGAGTACATGAAGTTGCTAAGTAGAACCTGACTGTATAATGCCCGTTTGGGGTTAGCTAATTTGATGTGAGCCATACGATATATTGCCCTTTCTTCCATTATTGAAAATCTTGTCCAGTTGTAATCAATATCTGGCTTCAAGATACGTTGCGGTGGTTCCGGCGAAAGAGTGCGAAGTGAGCTTCCTTTTTTGCCCCCTGAATCTCGATCGGCTTTCTTCTTTCCGCCACCAAAAAGGGACGAGAAGATGCCGTCCTTCTCCTTTTTAGGCTCCCCGCCAGCTTTACGACTGCTTTCTTTCTTTCGTTCATTTTCGAGTTTATTATCAACATTCTCTCTCTCGACTAAGAAACTTTCCCGGCCTCTCGTAGTTGTCTCCATGGTGGATTGCAAAACATCCAATCGAGCATTATCGTGCACTTTCTCCGATGAAACCTTGCTTTTGTTCTTATCATCTTTTTTCTTATCCTTCTTGTCCTTCTCGTCACTTCCTTTGAACCAGCCCCAACTAGTCTTCCGAGTCCCAGAGTTTTCCTCCTCTCTTTCCTTTTTACTTTTCTTGTCAATCTTCTTATCATCGGAGGTTGGAATGTGAGTGAGCGTATCCGTTTTCAAAGAGTTTACCGGAAGTGAAGAAGATTGCTGATGTTGAGGCATATCGTTTGCTGTTGATGTCTTTGGGAGATTGGCACCGCCGGAGGAAGCTTGACGCTCCAATACCGGACGTTTGTTCGACCTCGCTGGGGGTTCTGGAATAGACTGAGGAGCTGCTTGGGGGGCTGCTTGGGAGGCTGCTTGAGGGGCTACTTGGGGGGCTGCTTGAGGAATTACTGGTGAGGCGTGTTGCTTCGGTGAAACTTGCGTAGTCTGTGAAGATGTTCTCTCGGGGTACTGGAGAGACTGTTTGCCCATTTGTGGTTCCGGAGTTTCTTCTACAGGAGGTGGTGTCTCTATTATGCGTGGGACTGGCGAATCCGTTCGAGGATGGCTAGTACTTCTTGATCGAGTTGCATCAGGAGCAGGGGGGGAAGACTGTTGGCTGGCGTTCGGTAATATTTCTGCATTTAATGTTGAAGCTGGAGAATCAGATCTTGTAGGTACTTCGTTGGCAACATTTCCCGGAATTGGAGGAACTGGTGGGACCTGATCAATGTTCTGCATACGCCGTGCACCCCTGTTGGGTCTCGAAAAATTATCCGTGTTACTTGAGGGCTCCGATAGGGTGTGTGTAAGAGGGTAGCCTGCAGATGGACGCCCATCAATCGGCGAAGCCGTTGGTGAATCACCTCCGTCCGTATCAGCTCGAATAGAGCCAGCCCTTTTTGAAAATGGGACTCGCTCTCCCTTTCTCAAGCTTCCCCTCCTATATGTCGTGTGTGTGGACCTCCTTAGACCAATCCCGGGTGCTTGGGGTAAGATAGGTAAATCTTCGCCTTGAGCACCTTCACCCCTTCCTGTATCGAGGTTCAATTTCTGCATTGCTTTGGAGGGATCCTTTACCAACTCGTCCAATTCCTGAAGATCCGAGATTCTGAGATCGGGCGTGTGATGTGATGATAAAGACTTTTTCCTCTCCAAATGTTCCGCGCCGTCTTGGTATCCTATAGCTCCCTTACCACCCGAATTATCGATCTGCCTTGACAACATAGATTTCTTCCTCCTCAATCCTGCTCCAGACCCACTCTGATCAACTCCATTAGCCGTTAATGAGATTTGATCTCCAGATCGTCGTTTTATTGATTGAACGCGATTCTCCAGGAACGTCTTGAATTCCATGGGTGCAAGCTCGGGGTGAACCCTGGCGGGTACCCAGAAAAGTCGCGATGGATCGTCCTCGTTGTCGTTCCCTGTTGGAGCTGCTGTGGGCATTGAAGATACACCTTGGAACGATGGCAGATCCGGATCACTAGTATTGCCCACATCCATAGACATTCGCCGTAACGCTTGTAAATTACTTAGCTCTTGTGCGACAGCAGCTGGCCCGGATTCATAGTCGATGTCGTTCAGCGGAAACTCCGCATTTGCGGTACCTCCTGCATTAGGATCACGCAAGGACAAAGATGGCGATATTGGACCCCCATCTCCAAATGTTGGACTTCTGGGACTTTGCATGATTGCTGGTGATGTATGCGCTTTGTGGTTTCCATTTACTAAGGGTACTGGTCTGGGTCTAATACTGCTGTTTGTGTCGTAAAATGAATTCGTTACCTCTTCGATAGACTCACTGGAAGAGGAGGGCATAAAGCTAAGAGGTCGTGAATCTTGTTTTGAATAGTCATCATCCCCATACATATCTCCAATGGCCTCCGTTACATGATGGTTTGGATCGTTGATAGAAATTCGTGGATCCCGTCTAGGTGCAAAACTCCCCCCAAGTTGTTCTCGAGGTCTCGAAGAGGTCTATTGAAGAGAAATGAAGTTAGTAAAGTTTATTGCAACAGTTCTTAAATAAGAGGTATCTTTGTAAAAAAAAAATTGGTATTATACGAGAGGACCAAGGTCTAGCCAGGAAAGAGAGTGTAGCAAGAGTGAATTAAGAGAGATTGAGAGAGAGAAAGATCCAACTTTGAATGTCCAACAGACAAGCAGACAAGCATGAGGAGTTGTTGGGTAAGATGGTAACTCGCAAATACTATTCTGACTCTGCTTCTTTCCCACAATGTACGTCGCGTCGCACAATGTAGTAAGTATTCCATAGAGATGTGCATACCTTCATCGGGAGTTGTGATGCGGGTCTTCTAAGAATTCCCTTGCTGAGATAGAAGAACTAGCACCTAATACAATCACTGTCGATACCGGCGATCTCATCTGGAGTTGTATGGATTATGGACTTAGTGTGGCAAGATTGGAGAGGACTAAAGAGCTTAATAAATATACATCGATGGGCACTTAAATAAAAGTATGTCAAATGGGTGAAAGTGGAGAAAAGAGTTGCGATGGCATAATGTTGCTGTATGCAGTAATGATCGAGTGTAAGTGACAGTGTGAGTGTGAGTGTGAGTGCGAGTGTAATAAGTGTAAGTGTAATAAGTGTTGTTTGGGGATACTGATTATGGTAAATAGGAAGGATCTCAATTAATTCGAGTTGTGCAATTGGTACCAAATGGGGATTGTTGTAGTGAGCAAGTGGCATATGAGTGGATAGATTGGGGGGAGAGTTTTTCTGGGGGGTCCACCAGTGACCAGTGACCAGTGACCCGTGAGTGATGGAGCGATGGAGCGATTGAGAGTGGTGAGTGGTGAGTGGTTGCTTGGGCTTTATTCATGGGATTTACGAGTATCTACATAGTAGACTTTGTTAGCGAAAGATATAAATCGTCTTACATCTGGTCATCCCTCCTATGGAACATTATGGGAAGCCATCAACCGTCACGATAAGATGAATAATGGAATGAAAGAAAAGAAAAGAAAAGGAAAGAAAAGAAAATGGAAATTCTAGGGACCAGGTACCAGATTGGTACACAGATATTTTAATCAACAGATTTCCTACATACATACCTAGGTATAGTCTAACAAACATATATACATGTAACATTCACTCTTTGACGAAAATATCACATAGGGGTATCCGAATAGGGGATAAAGGATCGAATGTCCGAGTCCATATATGAACGTATGAACATCTGGGCACTACCTACCTAGTAGATACAACTGGATTGGTAGCTTCCTGATATTGGTGTATGTTGTTGGAATCACCAGACAAGACAAACTGCATTGTCTTCCACACAAATGACATACTGATTAATCTTGGAGAATGAGATATCACGATTACACTCGTACCGTACCGTACATACATCATCATGTACATACTGCATAGTGACATAATAAAGTTTGAGGCTATCGTACTACATCATCGTACTACATCATCGTGCTACTTACTCGTATTGTTAAAGATTCTTTAAGCTTCATGTTGAACATCAATATCTGCTCGTATTGGGTCTCGGTATATCAACACCTACTTTATCAGCTGTGCTTTTGAAGATCTTTTATATCTCCCAAGACTTCTCTCGTATCACCCACCCACCTCCTCCTCATCCAGGGCTGAATTTGGCATCTGACTGTATTCCCATCTCTGATGAGCTTTGGATGCTGTTTACCAGGTATTCAGGGTTCTTATGTCCGTTGGTTGCTACAGCGCCTAGAGTCATCCTTCAATTGAGAGATTCTTAACCATCCTTTCCGTGATTAGCTACCCAGGCATGCGGCGCAAACACATGACAATCCAAGAAAAAGAGGTAGGGGGTAAGAGAGGGCACGCACCGGAAGCTTGTTCTTCCCGGTGATGGGTACTTTAGTAAAATGTTGTCGTTTCAAATGATGAATTGAGCCTCCGAATGTTGTCACTCAAACATACTCACTGTCAAGGTCCCCAATTACTCTGTTTTTCACGAATCTCAGACATCTCCAAGGCTTTTCGCACGGCATCATGCAGAATTCGATATATATCTCGTAGGTGTTCCTTCCGCGGGGTACATAGGTAGCAAGGAGGAAAAACGAAGTCTTTGGAAGACTTTGAAATTATGGCCAAGGTTAATTATAGAACATGGGCTGGTTCAGGGGCATTTGTAAGTGTGTGTGTGGGTGGGCAACGGCTTATCGATCTAGAATCTTTTTTCTTCTTCCATTTCTTCTACTCGTATGTATCGTATCGTATTCGCACCCGCCGTTTCCTGCCACACGATAAGAAAAAAGCAAATCGAGAGCGAAGAGAAGAAAACTTCAATCACCAAAACGACATCGCACTTTTTCGAATTTCAGCCATTATACCGGTACATAGACCATATAGATAGATAAAATGGTGCCAGAACACGGTCACCCAACAAAGATATTTGCTGTACGCTGAGCTCTATTTCCGTTCCTCACAGCCACAATGGTGAGAGTTCGCATTGACTTCGTTCTTGGATGTTTGAAACCTCACCTCACCTCACCACCTCATTTCAAGACACACCACGTACTCAAACATGAGGGTCTCTCGTTAAAAGTGTGGAGTTCATCAAGAGAAATACGATTTATAGATTGTGAGACATCTTTGAATTATACATTTACACAGACCTACATACATACACAATCATTCAATCGATCAATCAAATGAGACTTCCTGCCACTCAAAGACAATCAATCATTTTGACTTTCTTCCTCCGGGATTTGAATGGACATTGATATCTTCCGACATGGAAACATGCTTCCCTGCTTCCTGCCTCCCCCAGGGTAGCCTGTCAGTGACAACGTCATGTCGCCTGTTCGGGTCAATATATGATCCTTTGCTGGCATATATGCAGTCGTTCGCCAACTTCATATCCCCAGTCAACCATATCCAACAGTAGGTGAAGAGGAAGAACGAAATGGGGTTCAACAACTGGTTTGTGTTTACCCCACAGTACTCTATTTCCCCGCATCTTGATCTGCAGAAGCCTGCAATTCTCGACAATTCAACCGCTTCGGAAAAACTCTCCCTCGGTATATCCATTGACCGAGTTTTGGAGAATCAATTACTGATGCGACTTTGACTTCGTTCCTGGAAGTGTACAAATGGCGTGCGTTTCCGCTGAAATTCGATCGACAACGAAGCATTGTGCGCTCACACAGAGTGCTTCTCTCAAATCATGGCTATAATCAAACGTTTCATTGCTCTTGTCGCACTTTCCCTGTCTTTGGATTTGGTTTCTGCTCAAGCATGCTGGAAAAACACAACTTGCAGTGGACCTCTGGAAGCTGCCTTTCCGGGCCCTTGGGATGCAAACATCTATGCGCCTTCGAGTCGCCAGGTATCTCCAAAATCCGTCTTATCCGCAACAACCGGCGCTGTTCTGTCTAACTTCACGGGATCGATTGGACTTTCTGGAAATGGTTCGAAATATACTCTTGACTTTGGTAAAGAGGTGGGCGGACTCGTGACCCTCAAATACACTTCCTCGGGGCCCGGTGCAATCGGGCTGGCATTTACAGAAGCCAAAGATTACATTGGGGAATGGTCCGACTCGTCCAATGGAGGCTTCAAAGGACCAGATGGCGCTATCTATGCAAATTTCACATCAGCTGGTACGGGAACATATACCATGCCAGATCTTTCGCTTCGTGGAGGTTTCAGATACTTGACCTTGTTCTTACTTACCGACGGTACCACGAATGTCAATATTAGCAGCATCGTTCTTGAGATTGGATTTCAGCCAACATGGTCAAATTTACAAGCATACCAAGGATACTTTCACAGCAGTGATGAAATGCTAAACAAGATTTGGTACTCTGGTGCATACACGCTGCAAACAAATGCGGTTCCTGTAAATACTGGACGTCAAATCCCTACTGTTAAAGTAGGATGGGCAAACAATGGTACCATGGGGCCGGGTGATACCATCATTGTAGATGGAGCAAAGCGGGATCGAGCTGTTTGGCCTGGTGACATGGGTATTGCCGTTCCATCGACATTTATTAGTATTGGAGACCTCGTCAGTGTCAAAAATGCACTTCAGGTCATGTACAACTACCAGGTATGTTATCATTTAGTTATTCTTTTTGTCCCTGTCCAGTATTGAAATTCCTTCTTTCACATACCAATTTTCCACGTTGAAACTGCTTCGTTGACCGAGGATCCTGACTGACTCAATTTAGAACAATGTAACCGGCGCATTTCCAGAGGCAGGACCACCCTTACTACAACTGGGCTCTGATACATATCATATGTGGACTATGATTGGAACTTACAACTACGTTCTTTACACCAATGATACTTCGTTCCTCTTACAAAACTGGGCGAAGTATCAATTAGCGATGAATTATGTTTATGGAAAAGTCAGCGCTCCTGGTCTCCTTGAGGTCACAGGAATTCGTGATTGGGCCCGTTGGCAACAAGGTTTCAATAACAGTGAAGCACAAATGATGTATGTTTTGATATCAATGTGACTATGGTGGTTGGCTAACAAATGCACAGTCTCTATCGAACCCTTCTTACTGGCGCTGATCTGGCCAAATGGGCTGGTGATACTACCAATTTGACGGCGACATGGACCAGTCAGGCGGCTTCTCTCAAAACAGCCGTCAATAAGTACTGCTTCGATTCATCTTATGGATCTTTCAAAGACAACGCAACAGCAACTACATTACATCCTCAAGACGCAAATAGCATGGCTCTTTTATTCGGAGTTGTTTCTCCAACTTCCCCTACAGCCCAAACTATTTCCACCAACCTTCTCAAGAATTGGACCCCAATCGGAGCTGTCGCGCCCGAACTTCCAGAAAACATATCCCCTTTCATATCGAGTTTCGAGATCCAAGCCCACTTTACCATCGGAGAAACGAGTCGTGCGCTCGAACTCATCCGTCGATGTTGGGGTTGGTATCTCAACAACCCCAATGGAACCGAAAGCACAGTCATCGAAGGTTATCTCCAAAATGGTACCTTTGCATATCGATCAAGCAGAGGTTATATGTACGATACCTCATACGTATCTCACGCACATGGCTGGTCTTCAGGTCCCACATCTGCCCTTACAGAATTTGTATTGGGTCTTAGTGTTACTAGCCCTGTGGGCAAAACTTGGAAATTAACACCACAATTCGGAGACTTGACGAGTGCAGAAGGTGGATTTATGACTGCATTAGGGAAATTCCAAGCGGCTTGGAAACTTACAACGACGGGATACACGTTGGATTTTGCGGTGCCGGAAGGAACCACAGGGTCGTTGATCTTGCCGGTAAGAAAGGCGGGGGTGGTGCCAAGTATTGTTCTGAATGGAAAAGAAATCGAGTCAAGGGGCTTGAAGGTTGCAAATGGGGGTGTGGCGTTGGAGACTAATGGCGGGAAACATAGTATTGTTGTTCGTTGAAGATCTATACGCTACCTTTTAACATTTATTTACCACAACACTATTAAGACTCGGACACCCCAGTATACGATCTATCAGATCTGCATTTTAAATCGTGGCTGTGAACATGAATTCCATGAAATATCTGAAACGTCCCTGTTCGTCATAACCCTGAGTCCATAAAATGGAAAATCAGGGTCTTGTAATCTGATCTACTTGAGATGAAGGATCGTCATAACTTTCACATTTCTTTGTTTCACCAAAGAGTGATTTGAGTGATTTTTGTGATAGTGCATGAATCAGACTAATTTTCAACTAATCTTCAACTATTAGATGCCGAAGGGGTGGATAATGACGTATGTGGATAAAACTAAGGAATGGGGGGGTTTTAGTGGGAAGCTGAGGGGTTCGGGCGGGAAACATAAATAAGTACAATACTTGAATACATTGTCATCAATCTATTCATCAATAACCTCGTTATCATCGCTAACTTCCTTCAACCTCGAAATCGAATATCATTCTAGAATCATTTGAAAATCTTATCTTTTTAAATTGAGACATAAGATTTAATATACCTTGCCTCTGCACACTCCACTAAGTACAAATCCGCAACCAGGATTCAAGATTACCGAAAGACAAACGACAACAAGGGTCGCGAATACCACCCCACTAAGTGACTAGGTAAGTTGAGCACAGCGAGCGAGCGATAGTGAATAATATCCTTCTTGCATATTATCCATACGTCGCTCCTCTTGCTTCAATCATCTATTCTCCCTTCACTTTTCGCACAAGCTGCTTTTTTTTGGAGAAGGGAAACTAATACAAGATGATGCGCAAACAGTCATTACACGCCAATATGTCGGGGACACAAGTAGCAGGAGCTCCTGGATCGACACCAGCGAATATGCCAGTGAGATCATTCTCGACTAGTAGTGCGTTAACAGATCGTACGGATGAGGGAGAGGCAGTGCCATTGGAGAATCCTAAGGATGTGAGTGTCTTTGCGGACTTTGCAGCTTGTCAAAGGTCGAATATTGGGCTAGGGGAGAATAGGAGAACGCTTGTGGCTGATTGAATTTTCGCGCGCAGACTTCAGAATTGTTAGGAGAAAGATTGAGAGCTTGGAAACACGCAGTTGGGTATCTTGAAGAATACATTGGAGCAACGGAGAAAGTACAAAGACAACAATCAAAGGAGTATGAGAAGGTTTTGAAGACTATCGCAAACCCCTTAAAAGAGGGACATCATTTTCAGCAGGAGCTGGGAGGTATGGCAGGCATGTTCGAAAACATGCGAACGAATACTCAGGTATGATTTAAGCGATGCTTTGCTACTGCGCAAACGCTGACTGAATAGGGTTTAATAAATTCGCACCTCGAAACGGAGAAGAATCTGAAAGGCACGGTACTCCCTATTCTCGATCGACTACACAAGGAAATCAAACACAAATCTAAGGAGTTGCTTTCTGGGGCTTCAAAGGGAGCAAAAGAAGTCGAAAAGGCTAGAAATACTACACAAAAACATATTGAGCTTTTGGGATCACAAACTGCGAACTACCAATCCAGCGCTGCTTCCATGAAGTCAGCAGAAGATCCATATGTTGTTCACCGAGGTATTCTACACCGACTCCACAAGCAAGTTTTGGAGGAAAACACCAATCGTCATGATCTTATCCAAGTTCAAAATAACTTTGCGCAATTTGAGGCTCATGTTATCGAGATCATCCAACAGACTATGATGAGTTTCACTCAGATAGTTACGAGCCAATCTCAAAGAGAACAAACACTCTTCGCAGATATGCTGAACGCTTGCCAAGAAGTTCCTGCAAATCTCGAATGGGAAGGCTTCGTTCACCGTAACCAAGCTTTACTTGTCGATCCCAACGCCCCAGATCGCTCAGTAGAAGCAATTAGCTTCCCCAACCAAAACCACGCTAGCACTCAGGCTCTTATCGAGGGTTCTCTTGAACGCAAGAGTAGAAACAAGTTGAGTTTCGCTGGTTACACTACAGGCTACTATGTCGTAACTCCAAGCAAATTCCTCCACGAATTCAAAGATAATGACAATGTTCGCAAAGACCCCGTTCCGGAGTTATCCATCTACCTTCCAGATGCTATAATTGGAAGTACCAGCGGCGAAAAGTTCAATATCAAAGGAAAAGATGTTTCTAAGGGAATAGGAAGTAAATTGTCTGGTACCTCTGAAATTGCCTTCAAGGCGCATTCGGCAGCGGATGCCAATAAGTGGTATGAAATCATCAAATCGGTCGTGGGATCAAGTCCAGCAGAAGCAACGAGTCCAATGGGTCCATTGAGTCCAACCTCCCCGACTGATTCCAAACAAAGCTCAATGAGCTATCCGGCGGAAAAACAACCCGAGTCAATCCAAACTGGGGGAATAATTACGGGAGGCGAGACAGTCGCTAGTCCTGTGGCGACAACCAATGCAACTGATTTTGCACCGGGGACAGTGCCAGAGAAAACTGGTTAAGTTGGTAGGGATAAGAGAGTGTTTGGAGATTGTAATTCAAGGGAAAGGGAGGATAAGATCTTGAGCGAATTGGCACAGAGAAGCAAATTTAAGCAGTGCGTCAGCGTGTATTCGAGCTTTCAAATATGATGTGCTCCTTTGAGCGTTTGGTTTACGTTTGAACAACGGTTAAAGTACTTGAATTATATCCAGCGGGGAGGGGTGGACAGAGGTAATGTTTAGTTTTGTGTATGGCTATTAAGATATGTTACTTTTTTCACTGCAATCTGATCTGGTGTTTATTGTTTGAATTTCAGTGAATGAGTGGAAAGTTTGTGTTATACTTTTCTTTTGGTCGGATCATTTAACTGCCGTTTGGTTTGTTGATGTACGTTTTTCTGACGGAAGCGTGGAGAGTCCATGCATGGTACTAGGTAAACACAATCAATCTTACCGATTTACAAGGTTCTGAAAAGGAAACATCAATGGGAGTTACTCCCCTCTACTACCTACCCAATTAGTGTCGCACTGGCTTTCTAAAAAGGACTGATCGAAAAAGAGGTCGTTAGGTAGTTGTGTTCATCGGGTTCGGGGAGGGGGAGGGGAAGTGAAGTAAAGTGCGCCTTCCTTTTTTATGTGGGGGATATACATTGGGTTTGAGTGAGTGAATGAGGGGTTGAGATTTTTCTTGTGTTTGTTTGGTGTTAGGATAGGTTCAAGTGGCTTTCTGAAAAGGACTGATCGAGAGAGGTACCTAGTAGTTGTATTTGTGCAGTTGACGATCAAAATTTGGTAGGTGCGTCCATCAGGTCGGGTCAGGGTAAATGCTCCTTCTATTTTCGTGGAATACAGATTTGTTTTGCGAATGATCGCGAGTCCGAGGGGTTTGGATCTTGTTATTGCACGTTCGTTGTTGGATTACATTCAATTGAATCTCTCGACCTTTGTACACTAAACCACCATGGACAATTCGGGATACTCAAAACTAAAGGAGCCTCCAATTACCCCACCATCTCGAGTTCATGCAGCTTATCCACGTGAAAAGCATCAAAAGGTAGAGTGTGCCCCTCAGCCAAGTGATCCATTCCAAGATTCGTCACTACCTCGCCCTTCACTCGCGGAGCAAAGATTCGAGCTTCCATTCACACTTCTCAGCCCATTGAAGCCACCAGAAACATCAGATCAATTCAAAAATCCTTTCTTGAATCTTCTTCCAAATTCTCCATTGAATCCCCGTAGCAGCAATTTCGATCCGGAAGAATGGATCTCCAATTTGGTTGCTTTCATGGGACAGGATCCGAGACGATATCCTCGGAGAAGTGCTGGATTTTCTTTTGAAAATCTGAGCGTCCATACTTTTAGAAAACCAACTGACTATCAGAAGACTGTTGCAAATATTGTGTTCGAAATTGGCGCTTTTGCTCGCTGGCTGGTTGGATCTGGGAAACAGAAGGTTCAGATATTGAAAGGATTCGATGGTTTGGTTGAGCATGGTGAAATGCTATTGGTTCTTGGCCGGCCAGGAAGTGGAGTTTCTTCATTCTTGAAAACGATATCTGGGAATACTCAGGGACTTTTTGTCGAGCCGGACTCGGATATCAATTACCAAGGAGTTTCTGTGAGTGAGATGCACACACGGTTTCGAGGCGAAACAATATATTTGGCCGAGTCCGATAGTCATTTCCCAGACTTGACGGTTGGTCAGACGCTACTTTTCGCGGCTAAAGCTCGAGCACCGTGCGATTTTACTTTTCCTGGAGTAAGTCGAAAAGTATACGCAGAGCATATGAGGGATGTGATGATGAAAACATTAGGTCTTAGTCACGTGGAGAATGTACTTGTTGGAAATGATTCTGTGAAAGGTATCAGTGGAGCTGAAAGAAAGAGAGTGAGTATCGCAGAAGCAGCCTTGAGTGGATGTACTTTACAGTGTTGGGATAACTGTACCAGAGGTTTTGATAACGCGCATGTATTCGAGTTTTGTAAGATGGTTCGGCTTTCTACTACCCTTGGAAGAACAACCGCATGCGTTGCTCTATATCAAGTACCTCAAACAGCTTATGATGTAAGATTTGGTCGCAGGCCTAGATAGACTACTGCTAACTCTGCGTATAGCTATTTGATAAAGTTACAGTATTTTATCTTTCATATCTTTCCCGTAAAATATTACTGATGAGCGCCACAGGTTCTGTACGAGGGACGGCAGATATACTTCGGCCCATGCCATGAAGCAAAATCCTTTTTCGTCGATATGGGATTCATTTGCCCTCCATATCAAACCACAGCAGACTTCTTGACATCCCTTACAAGTCCAGATGAAAGGATAATCCAGTAAAAATATCAACTTGTCCTTTCGAATTTTGACACTAACAATAGTGAAGACCAGGTTTTGAATTCCGAGTACCACGAACTCCCGAAGAATTCGTTATGGTATGGAAAACAAGCCGTTATTATGCAAGACTTATGCAGGAACTTGAAGCTTATGAAAACGAGTTCCCGTTTGATGGGACTCATGCGTTGGATTTTGCGGCTGCGAGGAGATCTCAACATGCTAAATATCTGTTCGTTTCTGATTTTCATTCCAATCTTGGTCTTCGACTTACTAATTGAACTCCAGGAGAGCCCAATCAGCATATAAACGGAGTCCAAGACAACAAATCATTTTGTGTATTGTCAGAGGCCTCCAGAGGTTACGAAGTGATTTGAACCACACAATTGTTGTTCTTGTAATCAATACTCTCATGGCTCTAATCATGGGTATCGTCTTCTACGATATGCCCGATGATACTAGCAGTATGAACAATAGAATTATGTCACTGTTTATCACAATACTATTGCATGCTTTTACAGACTCACATGAGGTAGTGAAACAAACTTTCAGGAATAACTTTGTATCACTGACAACACTCTAGATTCTCCAATTGTCTAACCAACGTCTGGTGGTGGAGAAACAAGCGAGATATGCATTTGTTCATCCATTCGCCGAAGCATTTGCTTCAATACTATGCAGCATACCAATCAAATTTTGCAGCAATATTATTTTTAACGCCATTCTATACTTCATGACAAGTTTGAGGAGAACATCCGTAGCATTTTTTACTTTCATTGCCTTCTCATTTGTCCTTAGTCTGACACTTTCTATGGCTTTCAGAGCTATTGGAGCTTCTTGTCGATCGCACGCTCAAGCCATCTTCTCAACGACAGTCGTTATTCTTGCCTTTATGATGTATGCAGGATTTGTGGTGCCTCAGGTAAAAATGGTGGCATGGTTAGGATGGATTACATACGTTGACCCGGTTGCATACGCCTATGAAAGTTTAATAATCAACGAATTTTCAGGTCGGGTCTTTCCGTGTGGAAATATTGTGCCGAATGGACCATCTTACATTAGTACAAGCCCTCATAATCGAGTGTGTGCTGTTGTTGGGGCTATCTCTGGATTTGAAGATGTATTGGGGACTATATATCTTGAGCTCAGGTTTGGGTTCCAACCTAATCACCTATGGCGGTACGTGAAAATCTTGTGATATTTTGTACTTGATAATAGGGAAGAGAGAGAATGCGTTCAAGATACTAAGCAGCTAATGTGCTTAGAAATATGAGCATTCTATTTGCCTTCATGGCATCTTATATGGCCGCATACCTATTCGTTATCACTCATATATCGGTGGAGAACATGAATAAGAAGATACTGTTATTTCAACGGGGACACAAACCTTTGCCCAAGAGGCAAAGGCATCTTGAAATTTACTCAGGAGCAGATACGCATAGGTATGGTGGGAATGGCGATCCAATAACCAGAATCCAAAGACAAACGTCAACTTTTCAATGGAAAGGTATCTGTCTGGATATCAAAACTGGAGATGGTATACGTCGGATCCTAGATCATGTTGATGGTTGGGTAAAACCAGGGACTTTGACCGCACTTATGGTACGTCCTATGGAGCGAGCCTGATACCAATGCTGATGAGGATTACATATAGGGTCCAACAGGGGCAGGGAAAACTTCGTTGTTAGATGTTCTGGCGTCTAGAAGTAACGTTGGTGTGGTTTCTGGTGAATCTTTTGTTGATGGCTGCATCAAAGATATATCGTTTCAACGCAAAGTTGGATATATTCAACAGCAGGACTTTCATCTTTCAACAATGACAGTGCGCAAAGCATTACAGTTCAGTGCGATCATGCGTCAATCGAGCAAGACTACCAAGAAAGAGAAATTTGCCTATGTGGAAGAGATGATTAAGCTATTGGAGATGGATGTGTATGCCGATGCTATCATAGGAGTTCCTGGTGAAGGCTCGTAAGACCCGGCTCAGTTCTTATGTAAAGACTAATGACATTTCAGGGTTGAACATTGAACAGAGAAAGAAATTGACCATAGGTATCGAGCTTGTCGCTAAACCAAAGCTTCTTCTCTTCTTAGATGAACCTACCACTGGGCTTGATAGTAGCACATCATGCGAAATAGTTGAGCTTTTAAAAAAGATGACAGCTCACGGTCAAGCTATTTTATGCGTGATTCATCAACCGTCTACAGCATTATTTCAACGCTTTGATAGTCTTCTTTTTCTTGGCCCTGGAGGTCGACCAATATACTTTGGTAGGCTTGGTGAAAATTGCGAAACTGTTAAGAAGTATTTCGAATCCAATGGAGCAGATCCTTGTCTCCCGGGTGGAAATGTTGTTGAGTGGATCATGCAGTAAGTTTGGTTCGTCAATTCCCCGAGCAATGATGGGATAATTAACCTGAAAAGGACTATCGGATGTACTCCCGATTCAACAAATCTAGTCGATTGGCCCGAAGTCTGGAGAACTAGCCATGAATTGGTCCTTGTTCATCGAAAGTTAGATCATATGAGAAAGGCATTGGTTGCAAGATCCAGCTTTTTCCTGACAGGAACTAAGAAACCACCTCATCGGAAAGAATTTGCTACGACATTTGTGGTACAGGTCTGGCAATGCTTCAGAAGGACAAACTCACACTACTGGCGGACTCCTTCTTATGTTTATTCGAAAATCGGATTATCCCTTTTTTATGTTCGCTCCATCCTCCTCATCACATTCTTTGCTACTTGAAGCTAATCATTGGTGTTAGGCTCTATTTATTGGATTCTCATCCTTTAAAGATGCAAGTTCTTTACAAGATCTGCAGAATCAAACTTTTGGCGTGTTTGTGCTTCTGTGAGTGCCCCCTCAATGAGCAGGAGCCGAGCCATCACTGATTGCGATGTAGAACTTTAGCATCTAGCTTCGTTGCGCAGATTCTCCCAAATATTCTAGTGCAACGAGCTTTGTTTGAAGCGCGAGAGCGACCTGCGAAGATTTACTCGTGGCCAGCTTTAATTATTAGTAACATACTTGTTGAGTTACCATGGAACACACTTTCATCAATTATTGTATTTCTGTGTTGGTACTATCCTGTGGGGATGTATCGCAATGCAATCTTAACGAAATCAATACTTGAGAGAAATGGAGTGATGCTACTGCTGATCTGGGTATACCTGATATATGCAAGCACATTAGGATACATGGTACAAGTTGGTCTTGAGCTTACAGTGATGGCTGGTAATTTGTCTAATGCTGCATTCTTCTTGTCATTGATGTTTTGTGGGTAAGTATGATATGACAATCTACTTTTTGAATACGGCTACGTCTAACTGATATCTTCTAGCGTAATCTCAGCGCCTATAGCACTGCCTCAGGTGTGGAATATCTTAAGGCAACTTTCTCCGTTCACTTACCTTGTTGATGGGATGCTCTCCATTGGCCTTGGCAACGTCCCAGTCACATGTTCCCAGTTTGAATCTCTTCATTTCGAACCAGTAACTGGGAGTACCTGTGGCTCTTATATGGCTAGCTATATCCAAAAAGCGGGAGGCTATCTCACCAATCCTTCTGCAAAGAGTAGATGTGTTTATTGTCCCCTGAAAGATTCGAATGAGTTCCTTGCTGCTGCTGGTATGAGCTATACGAACAAATGGCGAAACTTCTGCATCATGTGGGCTTATGTGGGTTTTCATGTCGTTATGACTTTGTTTATATACTGGCTGGTTAGGGTTCCGAAGAATTGTAAGGGGAAGCCGAAGGAGAATTTGGACAGTTCATCGGGTGCGAAAGATGAACATGTTAGTGAACCAAGTGGAGCTAGTCATTCGGAACGGAGCTTTGTGAAAGTAAGTGGATATAAAGAGGACAGTCCTCAATCTAGAAAGTGTGGTAGGTCTGATGATATTGAGCTTGTTCAGATGTGAGGCGGAGGAAAGAGGGAAATTGTTGATGGGGAAGTTGCAATTGCAGCATTAGAAAGGAGGGGCAGCCTGGGAGATCATATCTATTAGCTTGACAGTATTTTTGGTGGCTGTTTTATGTAACTAGGTGATAAACTCTATGGAATACTTGCCTAGGTACTGTTAGTGACTTCGTTTAACTAGTCAGGTACAATTATATAATCAATAATATTTAAACCTCATTCAAAACTACTTAATCTGTTATAAAAATCTTGCGAGTCTAGAGATTGAAAGTTCAATTGCTAACCAATCAGGCACTAAAGCGGCATTGTGATCCACGCCAATATTACCCCTCAACTTACGTCGTACAAACCAAAATTTATTTTGTACTGCACCTTTCATCATTTACGCCTCAGCTTTCAACGTACCTCCTCCACACCCAACTCACGACTAAACATGTACTGCGCAGAATGCGGGCATCCTCTTCCCGATATCCGTGACGACAATACAACATGCAGCAAATGTAAAACGCGCCTGGGCACCTGGTGGGACGAATCTTCGAAAACGATGCGCACGAACCGCGAAGCTTTCGTACCGACAAACATGATGAGCGAAATCATGGGCGGCAGAAGCCATTTCGAAATCAACAAGAAGGTTTCTGAAAGGACAAATACTTATGGATTGGAAGAGAGAGGGTTCCTCGCTACTCTGACCATGTTGGAAATGCGATGGGGACCTGGGGGCGGAGCGGGCTTGGGAAGGAAAACCATGGAGGGCTTGGGGAAAATGATTAGGAGTACACTCGATATGTCGCTTTCCCGCGGCGAGGTACGCGAGGCGCTTGCGAAAAATGTCGATATCTGGATGCGTCTGCAGCGGATATTTTATCTGGCTGTCCCCATCCTGGTCTCGCGGTCGCTGCGCGAATCGTATTCGGAACAGGGAGTTCCTGCGGGACCGGACGTGTCGGAGAGTGTGGCGCTCATTCTGAAGAATTTTGAAGTGCTGACGGAGGATTTGGGATATTTGAATAATTTGCTCGTGGTAAGTCGCAATATGCTGGCGGTGAAGGAGACGGCGCAGGAGATTTGTAGAGCGGTGGGCTTGGATAAGCAGGTTCATAAGTTGATTATTCTGTGTGTGAATGTGACGAGTAAGGGGTATGATGGGGAGAATGTGGATGATAATAGTAGGGGGAGGTTGAATGAGGTGACGGAACTTTGTGAGTTTTTTCTTCTGTTTTGTTTTTGAATTGGGGTTGGTATTGGGGATGCCATTGCTTTGGTTCATCTTGAGTGAGGATTGGGTTTGTGGAAGATGCTGATTTCTCTTGCAGATAAAAAACTTCTGGTCACTTGCTTACAACATACGCACAATTGGACTATGGGTAATGATAGATTCAAGATGTCGTTTTGGTTCGATATGCTTTTCGATAATGATTTGCATAATGATCCAGTTCACGAACTTCCTCCGGATGATTTGAATGTGGAAAAGGTTTATCATGAGGTTAGAAATTGGTTGACTCGACATTCGGCAGATCAGGATGAGACAGCCAAGGAACTTCTGGAGAAATACGCCGCGGAAGCTGACATGGATTGCACACCTGGACCGTTACCACAAATTGACGAATTTACTGTGACTGATGCGGATAAGGAAGATGATCCGGAAGAAACGACACCGGTTTGGAAACCTGAATTGACGGATAAATATGAGCAAGATCGAATTTACGCCCGTGTATCACATGAAATTGATATTTGGTGGAAGCGCCAAAGAGATCAGAATTATGAAGGATGGGTAGTGAAGATGGTCACTGTGGAAGATGCGATCAAGCGTGCGGAGGCTTGTAAAGAAACTGCCATGGAAAGATTTCTTCCTCAACGAGCTTTCCAGGATCAGGATGCTTATGATCAGGATGAACAGTTGGAGGAACCACCTCTACACGATGAGATTGATGGTGATACTCGATCCATGGATGGTCATGATGGTGAAGATGATGGCGAAGAAGAGGAAGAAGAAGATGATGATGAGTCTTATGCGGAAGGACCATTGAGAGGTCTTTTGACCGAAATTCCTAACATTCTCGATACGAAACAAATCGAGGCTCTTCATATGACTGTCAAAGCTTGCATTGTCGATTCAATGGGTTCAGGACTTACACCAGCTGGCGAGAATCTTCAAAAGACACGGTGCAAAATGTTTTTGGCTTTGGATTGTGGCAAAAATCTCCTTCGTGAAATGTTGGTTTTTATCGCTGTTTGGGAACAAACTGATCAACATTTCATTTTCCAAATTACTGCTCAAATTATCGAGTCTTTCCATCACAATGCTTTATTGCCATATGCTTGGAGCTCGCTGAGGATTATGAAGGATATTGTATCGCCAGCACAAACTGTTCTTTTACGTCTTATCAACTATATGTTCCGCGCTCGAAAGGATAGTCCTATCTACGACGATCTAAGAGATTACAACAGAGATGCAAAACTGATTCATTTTCTCTTTACGTATTTCCGTACACGAGTCGTACCTGATTGTATCGCCCTTATTCACGCGCAAGCTCAAATTCGAACTAAGAATAGCGATCCCAATGATTTCCCAGTCGATTTATGGGATATGGAACGTGCCAAAGATGGACTCTCGCAATATCTCGATTTTATATCTGTCATTGCCGAAATACCAGAGATGCGACCACTTCTCATTGAATGGGAAGCAGTCTATGAACTTATCGCTCTTCTTAGAGCTCTTGATTTAGGTGTTGCCAAAAAGAATCTTTCGGAACAACCATTACCAAATCGGCGACAAGCACCTGTTCCTCAACAAGGAGGAGGTATTCAAGCAACTGAACGACCATATGAAAGTCCCACGTCGCAAAATGCACCACAATTCCCAGGACAAGGACAATCTCTTCCTCCTCTTCATGACACACCACATAAATTCCCTTGGTCGGGTATTAAAATTCAAATACTTATCATTCTTACTTCGCTTGTGGCACCCAATAATCCGCGCAGACAAGGACCGGGAAATCCAATTGTACAAAAACAATTACTTAATCAGGATGGAATCATGCCATTACTGAATTGTTGTGTTTATGATGGACATAATGAGTATTTGAAGGAGAGAGCAACGCTGGCATTGAAATATGTTATGGAAGGTTGTGAGGAGGCGCAGAAATGGGTTAAGGATTTGGTACCGGCTGGGAAACAGAGGGCGGCAGCGGGTGCGGGTGCGAATGGTGCACAGGGAAATGGGAACGTGAATGGAAGTGGAAGTGGGAGTTTGCGGGCAGGAGGAGGTGTCCCGGCAACTGCGAGCGGAGCGTCTAATGGAATGCATATGCAAATGTCGGTGGGGAATGGTATTGATGTGGATCCGACGTTGCAGTTGGAAAAGTTGAGGTTGCAGGAGAGGGTTAGGATTGCGGAGCAGAAGGCTAGGGAGATGAGGGGGAAGGAGAATGGTCAGGGGTAGAGGTAGGGACAGGGAGGATAATTATGAAGAGAATTTGCATTGCTTGGCGTATTAAAATGGTGTGGGATATGTGATTTGGGACTGTTGAAAGGAAAAGAATGGAAGAGAGGAGAGGTATGATACCCTTTTTGGCGTTTCAATGGATTGGGTTGGGTTGAGTTGATACAGGGGAATATTTGATTGCATAGTTTATGCTATGTAGCATAGTATAGCATAGCTTGGCAGGTTAGAGAATGTTAGAGAATAGTGCAGAATGGATGGAATGAAATGATGCGATGGAGTGATGTATGGATTGTTGAGAGAGAATGTGAGAAAGGGAAATTTGAATATTGATGAGTGTAGTTTGTAGTTTGTAATGTGTAGTGTGTGGTGTGTGGTTGTTTAATAAGTTGAAATGGGGTGGGAATATACGAGGGAGGGGGTGAATGAGAGGGTGAGAGAGTGAGAGAGTGAGAGGGGGAGAGGGGGAGAGAGCGAGAAAGAGAATAGGAATAGGAATGGAATGGTAAAGTAGGTAGAAAATGAGGTGCTGGAGAAAGACAGGCTGGATAGATAATTGATTGAGTGGTGTATTATCTGAAAGGAGGGAGGAATATTGGAGGTGGGGAGGTGCTTGGAGAGAAGATTTCGAATGGAAGATTCGAAAGGAGATTATAGAGAGATGGAATAATTATTGAATTAAGAGAATATAAGAGTATAAAAAAGAATAGAAAAGAATAGAAAAGAATACAATAAAGAAAAGAATACAATAAAGAGTGAAGAAGTAAAATGATAATGAAGCAATATAGAACAAGAAATGAAATAATATAAAAAGATAGAAGGAAAGGTTATTGAATGATATGGTATGGTATTTGGAAATAAAGTATTATAGGGATATGTTTTGGAAGGGAGTATTTGAGGAAGGATGGTTGGAGGGGGGTGCTAGAAGGGGGATTTTGAAGGGGGATTTTGAAGAGAGATTTTGAAGAGAGATTATGGGGGGATTGTTAGGATATGAAAAGAAATAATCAAAGAGAGGTAGTGAATTAAGGAACAAGATAGAGAGGTAGATTAAGGGTATAGATTGATTAGAGGTAGGTTTTGTGACGCAGGAAGTACATTAATCAAATAGAATGAGATAATAGGGATTATATCTTTCTATTATGATCATTGTTAGTATTGATTAAAAATGTATAGATCAAGAGGGATACTAGAGATGAAGAGGAACAAAGGGAAAAGAAATGAGATGATATATTTTGAAAGTAGCTCTGCTTTCTCTATGAGATAGCCACTCTCGATTTTCTTTGTGTTCACGAGACTCGTTAGTATGGATCTTTGGGAGATATGCATAGATAGCTTGCTAAGATTAGCGAGGTGTATGAATGAAGAAAACACAATTCCGGAATGTAATTCTTTTATCCACCGGGAAAATCTTCTAGAGATTACTAGGTAGTCTTCAAGAGTAGAGTCATCTAGTCTCTTAACGTATCTATCTAATTAATAATCATCGTTATTTACTTCAACTCAAGAAATTAAAGTTATAGTGTTGCCTAGGGTGTCAAATGAGGTGGCATGACCTCATTGTTGATGATTAGATTTCAGATCGGTCGCGGGTTGGAGTTTTTGTGATGGGTATTTGGAGGCAGTAGAATTGCATTTGTGTGTTGAGGATTATACTTAAGTATTGATGAGTTGCAGGGTTTGGGGTACTTTTTTTCTCTTTTTGTGGTTGAATCTTATTTGGAGTGTTGAATTTTCTTTTTGCTCGGGTTTTGAGATATTTGTTCAATCGGTTCGAATCTAGGGATGCCAATCGTAACCATGATCATCAACCTATCAATTGGTCGCCACGAGTCCGTCAATCTGTAGATGATCATCACCCTACCAATTGGTCGCCACGCGTCCGCCAATCTGTAGATGATCGTAATTCTGGATATGGCGCTGGGGAGCCTATAGTATCTTGGAACCATCGAGATGATCGTGGACATGGCCGTAAAGATGAACGTCGGGATGACCGTCGAAATAGAGATAGGGATTATCGACATTCTAAATCTACCGCTGGGAAGACTCGAACTTATCGTCAAGATGAAGATGAATATCGAGATGATCGACACAATCGTCAAGGTACACATCGAAATAGAGATGAAGATGTTCGTCATCCAGAAGATACTGAAGCCCCTCGAGAACGTCGTCGAGATGAACGTGACCATGAAGATAAACATCGACACAAACATCGAGACAAAGATCGAAATTATAATCAATATAGAGATGACGGTGGAGATGAACTTCATAAGGACCGTCCAAACCATCGTCGATCAGGTCGTCACTCTCAACGTGAAAATGACTCTAAAAATAGAGATCGAGAACATGGTCAATCTAAACCGATAGATGAACCTCGACATTCATCTGGAGATGAATATGAAAGTCAAAATGATTGTCGAGATGAACGTCAAAGACCTCGTAGACGTAGATGCTCATCTATAGATGAACATCGCCGCCATCGTCGAAGTAAAAAGCCCCTAACTCCTTTTGATTTCAAGGGATTACATCCTAGAGATTACCCTGCCTCGACTCCTCCTCCTCCACCCTTCATCTCTCCTTAACTTCCACCGTCAAAATCGTAGATCACACGTGAAGGATGGTGAATCAAGGGTATATAAGAATGAAGAAATGGAAGTATGGAGATTCGAAGAAAACATACGAAAAATAGATTTAAATAATCCAAAGGAAAAGGATGTCACAATTGAAAGAATGAGTAGATTCATAGATGATGCGGAAAAAGGCTTGGTTGAGAAAGAAGCATCGAAGGAAGAAAGGAAGACGAACCGAACAAGATTGAAGGATGGATGAGAGGGCAATATTGATAGGGACAGAGTAATAGAGAAAGTCGAGGATATCTGGAGAAATTTTAATCGTCATCTGTATTTCCCAAGGGCTAGTTGCAAGATTGGTCTTTTTCAATGATATACGTAGATTTGGATCAGTGAAATAAAGTTCTGGGCAAAATTTCATGTTATATATGACCTTGAGGCAGTAGGTAATGATCATATGATAGACGTCATATACTTCATCGTTATAGACAGGAAATTTTATCTTTCTTCGAGATAGTTTATATACCTTTACTATCAATATCGGTTTTACAAATGATGAGAATTGAACTATGAGAAAACATCTACGAGAAAAAGCTCCAGAGTTAAGTAACAATTGACGTCAAATTGAGGTGAGATAGTAGGTATTATTTGTGAGGCTTTCAACGAGTTTACTAGTATGCGTGAATTTATGTTTGGAATCCTTCTATTTCACGACCAAAAAGCTCTTGATTTATTGTCTGAATACATAAAAATATTGTTGAGATAGAAATCGTAAATCTTGAACCAGACCTTCCGAGGATTGAACAAAATACAGTAACGAAAGAAGAGAAAGACCATCGATTACAATTGTAACTTCGAGGCCCTTTAGACCTCAAAACTACTCGATGTCTCTATAAATCGGTCAGTAAAATGAGCCCAACAATCAATGAAACTCGAATCGTGCCGTGGAGACCAACCGCAGACCTTGAAAGTGACCCCGTCACACCAGGCATCGAATTAATTCATTCAAACTCACATCACGATATCATTCTTTTCCATTGTCTAAATACAACCTCTAACCTCTCAACACACCACACCCACAGTAAAATACGTCAAAATCAATCCCAATACCTCGCACAATCAAGCCTACCACCCGACTCCCCACTTACTCCTATCCTAAACTCCCGCCCCACATCGGTACACCCCATCCCCTCGCTTAACCTTAGGGGAAAATCTCTGCAAAGAATTTTCTCCGCTTTGATGTCTCTAATATATTTTCACTTTCTTCCCTGTCCTTCATCAAAGACAATATAATATCCGGCATGGTGTAGTGGCTAGCATTTCCGCCTCTCATTCGAAGCTTTCGAGCTTCAATCAAGTCGCGGGAGACCGGGGTTCAATTCCCCGTACCGGAATTTCTTTTTGTTTTGTGTCTTCGGGTGTGGTTGGTGTTTTTTTCTTTTTTTTTTGAAATAAGATGAAAATGGTGGGATAGATTTTTACTGTTTTTAGATGCGAGGCGTTAAGGAACAATAATATATACATGGCATCTGAGACATATGTGGACTTTTTTCTTGTATTTACTGCTTTCGAAAGAAAAGGTCGACGAAATTACTAAAGAGTAGAGGGATCTGAAATGCTATACCTATGTAATATCTCTCTCCGGGAATCCTTTTACCTCTCTCTAATTAATCAAAATTTTTATTGATTATCTGAATACTCGGTTCTCGATGCAGTCAGAAGCTGTTAGTTCAGCTCACTCTGGGCTGGAGGTATGAGCAGTACAAAAGATGTAAACCCATCCAGCCTCTCCTCCATATATCTTCAGATAAGAAACACTTACCACACTACACTACAACAACTTCTCTCATTTCTCCTTCCTCACCCTTCCACTAATCCTCAATCATTCCAATACATAGAGTTTCTAGACAGTAAATATATTCATCTCAATCACCATTATCTGCTGCGTATCGTGAAACATATGGATGCATCAACTCTCAAACCCATAATAAGTCCCACTCCCCACTCCTCAATCACTCAATCACTCACTCATCTACTCCCCCTAACATCTCGCACAACATGAGCAAAAAGATGACAAGCAATGCAATCCGATTGCTTCTCCTATCTCCCAGAAATTCTTTCCCTACTAGCAAACATTTATTCAAGTCACATACTCTGACCTCACCGCATATCATTGATTAATCAAGAACCAAAGAAGAACCAAGACCAAAAAATTCTTTCTTCCTTCTTTCTTGTCAACTTCGCAAATGAAGTTCAATTAATTGATACTATTGTACCATTCTTCCTTATTAATACTCTATAAAAAATCCTGAGCGTCTTCAGCTGTATCTTTGGCTTCGTCAGTTGCCCCCTCAAAGCCTTACTTGCTCTTCTCGACGGCACTCTCAACTTCCTGGTTGAAAGCAGAAAGCTTAAAACTTATTACTGCGGTCTTACTTTGTTGTATATGCCATCTCAGTTTATCTTAATCCACTCAATAGTCTTCATGTTTCTAAAACACACTCAATCGTGTAATAGCTTGGTATTTGATGCAGTAGAAAACTTGTAAGCGAGTACATGTATGCACATACGGTCTACTGGCTAGCTCGATCAAGATAATTGAATGAGCGTATAAAGACCTCTGTTCTTTATTCTGTAACTCTCAAGAACTTCATAGTTTAAGAACTTAAGAACATTTATTTTCTTTACAAATCACAAACTACTAGCTCGGAACTCCTATCCCCAAATTTCAACTCTCAACTCAACTCCAAATTTTCTCCTCCTTCAAAACTTTAAAGCAACGCCAAACTATCAATCAAACCCGTAAATAAGTACTACTGTCTACTCACCTACTCACCAGCTCATCTATTCACCCATAAAAACACAAAAATGGCACCATCAGGAAAAGGCTACCCACCACCTATCCCACGAGTTTTACGTAGCAAATCTGGTGAAGGTTTGCCTTCATCTCAAGCACCTCAACCACAGTCACCACAACCACCAAATAAAGCTTCGAATACGTTTTCGGGATCCTCGAGAAACCCCTCCCCCACTTTCTCCAATCTCATTCCCAAATCTACACCACGAGATATTGATCCTGGATCTGTATCTGGACCTGCATCTCAACCTCAGTCTCTTCAAGACACAACTAGAGCCAGCTCTAGAATTCAATCCCGAACCAGCTCTCGAGCCCAAACCGGAAGTTCACGACCCCCACCCCAAGATAACTCGCTTCCAAGACCTCGAGATCTTATACCAAGACCTAGACCTAGAGCTATTCCTCATATTATGCCTAGACCAAGACTCACTCCGACGGATAGAAATTTATTTTTGGGTCCAGGTCAAGGTCAATTTCAAATCCAACTTCAAGCTGAAGCACCGCCACGCATCGACCCTCAGATTCGTGTTCAAAATCAGGAATTCTATACGAACTTTCCCTCTCCTTTTCCTACTGAAGATTCTCCTTTCTCACAGTCCCAAACAACCACTCCACTTGCAATTGGAAATTCGCACCAAGGTATCCACCGAGCTTTACATCAACCTCAACTTCCAGCACAAGTCCACTCGGAAACTCAAAATCGGGATCAACATTTCTATAATAATTTTCCATTTCCGTTTCCTACTGCGCACTCTCCTTTCTCTCACCCCCAAGCGAACCTTTCATCCAGAGCTCAAGATTTCCATCGAGGCAATCACCGAGATTTAGTTCAAGCTTCAACTTCAGTACAAGCTCAAGATGAGACTGAAAATGAAATCTGGACTCGAGCCAGCAAACGGCCTCGATTTTCCTATTCGCATCCGCATCCTAACAGTAGCAGGAACGAGGAGAGACACGGGGACGAAAACAGAGATGAAAACAGAAACAGAGATGGAAATGAAACCTCCAATGAAATCGGAATGGAAAATGAAACTCAAAGCGCAACCCAGAACGAGCGATACAATCCCATCGATACATCAGAATCACCCCTCAGCACACCACCTGATTCTGTATCCACTTCACCGCCTCTCCCACCTCTTCGTAATCTCCCACGCACTGGTACTTTTACACAAAGTCAGAGATTCGACCGGTCTCCTACAAGTAGAACTAGAACCCGTGGTGGACATAGAGCTGAAAATGAAAATGGAAATGTAACCGCAAGTAGAACCGGAACTACAAATCTCCCCTCATCCTCCAATCCCTCTAACTCCTACACAGAACCCTCCATTCTTCCCAGCACCCTAGACATGGCAAATCGCCCTACTGCCGCGCAGAAAAAATGGATGTATGCTGTGCGGGCGGAAGGGAGAAGGAGTGATAGGAATGAAAACGGGGGTTTAGTAGGGGAGTTGAGGGACAGATGGTTCGTTTGTTTGGGGGTGTGGGGAGGGGGGTGTGTAGGAGAAATTGAGGGTATAGGGATAGGGAAAGGAGATGGGAGATGGATAGGGATAGGGTAACTGATAGAGTTAGGACAAGAAAGAGAATACATAATAATATAAGAGGATTTGGGATCTGTTTTACTACCCACGAGATGAGAGTGAGGTGTGGTGATTTGATTGTTAGCTAGGAATAGTATTCTTACATGTAGAATATATAATGTATACTAACAATTCACGGTAATATTTCAACCTTCCACAACTTCAGCGCAAGTGCAGTTATATACGCCAGTGGAAAGATATAGACTTATAGCATATCATTTTATCTTTACTTACTTATTGTGATGGAGTAATGAATAACATAGAGGAAGGAGGAAGAAGAGAAGATAGTTGTATCTGCTTTGATTGTAATGGTTGGATGGATAGACGGATGATGGGGATATACTGACTTAAGATTGAAGTTAAGAACAAAAACCACCAAATATCCAACCCCTCCAAAAAAGAGAAAAAAGAAAAAAAGAAACGAAAATGAGAAGAGTACGAATCCATCCAAACCCATCCAAACTCCCGAAACCATCTCTCTCTTGGATGAGAAATATCAAACAGTATTAAAAACAATGTCTATTATCCATAATCATCCTTCTTCATTTTCTCTATTCCTTTATCAGTTTACCCAAACCTCACAAAGAAACTCCGAAGATTTCCATCTTCAAACAAAGAATACTTTTTTTCCTTTGTGAAGGACTCACTCAACTACCCAAAGAATGAAAATATTGAAACCAAAACACCCTCAAACAATGCCCGGGAAAAACAATCCATACGTATATATATCAACTCCTCAATCTTACCTAAATGTCAAGAACTCAGGATCTTATCTATTCATCTATCTATCCACAAATCAAACACTCTACAGTCCCGCACCAAAATAAGATGTCCACCTCCTTCGACCTCAGTCTCAGTCTCGCACTTGGCGAACCAATCATCTGCCTCAATACCTCCTGCAACTACCCCTTCGGACGCATCTGCTCCGAATGCTCAAACGAATTCGAGTCTCGAACCCGAGCCCAAGCCCAAGCACAATCGAAAACCAACCCCGATTCCAATTTCAACAACAGAGTCAACGAAACTCATCCCGCATTACCGAGAAGTATAACCGTACAATCTCGCAGTCACGATATCTCCACACGAGTCGCAGATATTGTAGAGGATCTCCAGGGCATTTTCGCTTTTGTACCTGCTGCACCTGCACCTGCACCCCAATTATCGGAACCAGCTCCTGCAGTCCTCCAGAAACCTAGTAAGTTAACCATCCGGAACCTTCAAACTTTCGATGCTACCCCCTCCCCCTTAAAACTCCAACCACTCCCTCTCCCTCCCCCTAACTCCCACTCCCAATCCTCATCCGCATCCACATCCCAATCCTCCCATTCCACCCCACCTCCCCTCAGTCCACTCAACGCCTCCATCCTAAACACTTGGCTCAACGACATCGTTCTCCGTACACTTGAAGGGCAAGTCCTCTCTCCTACTATTACTGGCGGTGCTTTTACTGGCGGTGCCGAGGAAGAAGATAAACTAGAAGCAATGTGTCCGTATTGCGATGCTTCGATGGGAGAAGGTGCGTGGAGGGAATTGCATTTGATTAATTGTCGGTATGCGCATGTTGAGGCGGAGAGGTTGAAGATTGTGAGGGGGAAGGTCTTGGAGAGGGGGGTGAGTGGTAAGTGAGATGGAAAGAAGGAGAGAGGGTAGATAGGTAGGTATATATAGCTGGTCTATGTTTTGGAGCTTGAATTATTACTTTCCATAACTTATATATTCCTGATATAATCTACATTGAATCAAATTATCTCATATAAAATAAACTATATCAAATACACACAAATACATACACACAACTCAATAATTCAAACTTGCGACCGACAAACTTCCAAATCAAAAGTCATCCTGGAAAAATAATAATGAATACCATACTACTTGCATCTAACCCCCATAAACATTCCAGCCGGTCAGCGACTACCTACCTAATACTCTGAATATAATGAACACAATTTTCTCCATCCCCCTCCCTTCCCCCCTCCCAATATCATGATACCAATCTTCCTCGAGTAGTACAAAACCCAACAAAGATGATTAATGGATCACTCACTAACCATTCGTGATACATTGAGAATCCATACTCGAATCCATATTCGAACCTCGTACTCAAGTATGTTTACTCTCTGACCAAGAAACCATCTCACCAACTAACACAAGAAAGATAGTCTACCCAGCACTTAGTCCATACAGTTACAACTATACCTGCCACGTAGTCAATCTACTACCGGTACATTACCTACCTAGTAGCTATGATAATGCCATACTGTTCAAGACTTTGAGTTCAACACTAATTGAAAATTGAGAGGTATTGTTTTAATACTTGATAAGATCTTATATATCAGAAGTTGTTGTCTAGTCAGGTAGGTAGGTCGGTATTTATGATATTGTATGATAGTTGATTGTACCAACTAGGTACTATTTTCTCTATTCTTACAAGTCACCCTCTCCCCACCGAAAATGAGAAAATAGGATACAAAGAATAAATGAATGAATAAATGAATGAATAAATGAATGAATAAATGAATGAACAAATGAATGAACAAATGAATGAACAAATGAATGAATGAACAAAAGAAGAGAGATCGGAGAAGAGAGAGAATAAAAGAGAGAAAGAGAGAAAGAGAGAAAGAAAAAAACTCGAATATGTAATGCTTGATTCCATTTGAAACTTCCTACATCGATTGAAGTCTCCTTCGCTTCTGCCTGTGTCCCCCCTCTCTCCTCAAATCCAAAGGTTCGTACACACACACCCACCTGCACACCCACCTACACACAAACAAACCTACGAACCAACCAAACGAGAGAACCTAAAAGAGGGTGATTGACATTCAAAAATAGGTATCGTTGATGACTGAATGACTAAATAACCAAACGACTGTTCTGAACACGTCCACATGCACCGTGATGATGAAATCGCACATACCTACCTCGCATATACCTACAACAGCGCAGCGCACACTTGGAAGATTTCCTCGAGTAGATAGGGCTTGACGAGATAGCCTTGATATTTTTATCTTGGATAGTGTGATTAATGGAGATGGTGATTCGTATCCGTATTTGTATTTGTATACCTAGATATGTACGGAATATCTTAGATACTTGTTTAATATTTGATGCTTGATATTTAACAATAAATAAACAAATAGATAGATATACGATTATTCTCATCATCACCCTCATCACATCTCATCACCCTCATCACCCTCATCACCCTCATCACATCCCATCACATAACACACAAAACAAATCCACAATCCCAAGTTATAATACTGACACCTATCCATCCATCCATCCTGAGTACAACATAAATACAAAAATGGATATTACATACCAATTTCTAAATTTTTATAAAAACAGATAGATTTGTATCATGTGATAATTTTATTATCTATCATCTATTATTTATTATCTAACCTTGTGACTTTAGATTTAGGTTTTTGTTTACAATGTGAACTTGGATGTTAATGTTTATGTTATTTGATAGGTGGGTGGGTTTGTATGATATGTATATATGTATTTATGTATGTATGTATATATAAGATAGATAGGTAGATAGATAGATAGATAGATAAATAGGTAAATAGATAGGTAGATAGGTAGATAGATAGATAAATAGATATCTATATCTATATCTAATTAAATAGTATTAAGAATCAAGATATTTACATATATATATATATATATATTTATTATAATAATCCTAACCTTATTAAATAATATAACCTTATATCAGAATAAGTAAATACCTAGTAGGTATGTATATATACATGTAAGTAAGTAAGTAAGTAAATATATAACATGTGATTAAGGATACAAATATATAACATGTGATTGAGGATATCAATCTACAATATCCATCCACCATACCCAATATCTTCCGTTCCCATTCCAAGATTAAAGGATATATTCATCCACCTATCCATCCATCATTCATATACGATCTACCTACCTACCCATCTCCCAAGAGAAATTCCGAGTCAGGAATGCATATCTATCTACCTACCAGGTACATTCTGACCATGACCCCGAGTACTTTGAGTTTGACTTCCTATCTACCTACCTATCTATCTATCTATCTATTTAACGATAAGAACTATAACCTGAGTTAATCTAGTAGCTAGTCCCAACCCAACTCCCAAGGGCTTTTCTTTATCATTTTTGAGGATTCTTATTTGTTTGTTTGCTTGGATTTGAATATGAATTGAATATGAATATGAACAACGATAGAATGGAATAGAATACAATTATAATCATGAGGCCTTTTTGATGTGGGATGATATATATGGATACTCTCGTATGGCGGATGTGTGTTTGTTTGTTTCCTTACTAAAAAGAGAAGGAGAGGGATATCTTGACTCGACGTCCGCATTAATGATAATCATGAATTTGTCAGATACAAGTAGGATGAAGATGGGTGATGAAAAGATATTAACAAGATGAATACCTAGATGAAGAGAATTGCATCTTCTCTCCTCATTTCTATATCCGAAATCTGACACGCATTTGAAGACTCGGTCGCACCAAATATTTGAGATCGTCTTGATTGTATGAATGCTCTTGTCAGGATAGAGATGGATGGAGGGATGGGTACACACCACCACCAATTGGATTGAAGTGGTTGAATGGAATGGAACGAGGCTGTATCTTTTCTTCCCGACTTGCTTACTCGCAGTATGTGAAGATGATGGAAGAAAGTGAAAGAGTTTATGTGAGAGGGTTAGAGGAAGCCGACGATCCATTATCATGTTGATTTTCACTGAGGAAGTGTGATGTGCAATACCAAACCATACATACTTACCATTTATCGATTTACGACCAACCAAAGCGGTGGCTGTGGTGTGGTGTGGTGTTATATTGTGGCGGCGGGCGCATCGTGTTATTACCCAGTATTTACCTGCCTCCTCTCCTGGCACGTACCCAGGCTTATAGAGTTTGACTCATTTTGTTTCTGTCCTCGATTAATGCATCAAGCTTAATTCATATATCAAATGGTGAAGTAGCCGTTGCACACGAGAGATGAGCAGGTACCTACATGATATCTCCCTAGTCAACCTAGCATCTCGACGGCACACTGCAGTTGGGAAAGATACATGGAGGAGATCCCTCGCATATGTGATTGGTCTCGACGATCGATGAATCTAGTTGACCACGAAAGAATGTTTGTTGTATCAACTGACCCTAGGGAAACTGACCCCCATACTATGAGATGCATTTTTCACATCTTTATCCTTCAATCGGATGAAATCGATTATGTAGCCGGTGACTCGGTCAGAAAAAGGTCGATGGATGGATGATTGATACTACATTGAAGGGAAGGTCCCCCTTTTTGCTCGTTTTTGGTACCTTGGATTTGAATCATCGATCCTGGGAGATACATGTATGGATATGCAATGACCGCAGATTTTTATGTAGGTAGACGTTGGAAAGATATTAACGTGTGTGTGTGTGTGTGTGCGTGCGTGTGTGTATGCGTTGATACCTAGTATTATATCTATCGGCTTGTAAGACGTCGTAGATATAATGTGAGTTTTGATTGGAATACTAGGGAGGGAGGTGGTAGGCAGATAGTTCTCCTGGGGCTATGATGTTGTGGTTGTGCAAGTCCTTATTCTTCTTGGTGTTGTTACTGGTGTTGTTATTGGTGTTCTTATCGGTTAGCTGATTCATCGTTATCGTTATCGGAGAAAGGATGAGATGAATGAATGAATGAAAGCACTAAAAGTGACTGGGACTGAATGCAGCATCTCATTGCTGGGTATTCCATTGGATCTTGGGGTTTGTGAGTGCAGTCAGCCAATTGCTTAATTGTTCCGGTCAACATATTCTCTACCGACCTCACCAATATATGCTCACTAGGTATACCGAGAGTCGATAGAGAGATGGATGTCGATTAGATGATATTCTTTACACTAGAAAGCGTAGATGGATAGAGAGTACTTCCCTTACGCGTACTTACACATACATACATACATACATACATACAGACCACCAGTGGACCTATCTACCTACCTGCCTCACATATGAACTTCACTTAACACAGCCTTCACTTCAGAGCTCGAGATTGTTGCTTCGTTACTAGGTAGTTTTCATTGTTTCATCATACTATTCATTGTCCATACTATTCAATCCATATTATCCTATCCATCCTATCCATACTATTCATACTATCCATATTATTCTATCCTATCTATACTATCCTATTCATACTATCCTGTTCATACTATCCATAATCCATACTATCCATAATCCATACTATCCATAATCCATACTATCCATAACATCCATCCATATCATCCATCCATATCATCCATTCATATCATGATCAATGAATTAGATATATCTTCATATTTTCTTTTGATCCCCTTCCAATTGTCTTATTAATGTTTTACCTCACCTCTTTCAAACTTTGAGATAAAATATCAATAAACTCTATTAATTCCATACCGACCGACTCCGTTCCATGGTTATCATTCATCCCTCCTCCTTCGTTTTATCTTCTCAATACCTTCAATCACAAGGCTCAATTCTATCATCAACAGTACTAGTCCTGTGTGTATGGGGTCACTACTAGGTCACTACTAGGTCACCACTAGGTCACCACCAAGTCAATCAATTACAGTTCAGTCATA